TACTTCCTTCCTGTCCTTGGAAGATTCCCTCGTCCTTGTTTTTTGTATCAAGATGGAGTAGTAGAAAGCCGAAAACTTTTTTTCCCAAAAATTAAACACTCCTAAAAATATAACCCCTTCAATTCAAATAGAAAAAGACAATTTGCTCTTGATATTGATCACCTTTGTTGTAATGTACTTAAGTTTAGAATGATGTCACAGGAGTTTGAGTGAAACTATTTATTAACATACTTATTCCGCTAAGAAGTGAATATGAGCATATTTGAATATGGACATCCTTGTTTAGAACTTGAACATAGTTACCAGACTACAAAAGTACCAGCGCTATAACAGTTCAGAATAGAGTGTTTCTTTTTCGCACTAAACAAATATTTCATCTCAATTGAACTTATCAGAATAGTGTTTAATTAGTTCTGAGAGAACGACAGTTAGAAAGAATAACTTGAGTTTTTTACGTAGCGCCACAAAAAATCAATAGTAAACTTGAAAAGGGCAATTAAATCAGAGACAAAATAATAAATAGCACAATTTCTGTAATTTTTTCTTCACTAATGTGAAAAAAAATATACTAACGACCAAAAAATGATTTAAAGTGGTCAATTGAAAACAACTACCATACCAGTTATCTAGAAAGCTATCTTCCCGATTATTTTCTTGGAAATCGTGAAGGCGGTTTGAGGATAATAGGAAGGAAAGGTAATTTCGGAATTTATTGAAAGTATTAGTAAGCCTAGGTAAAATTTGACTTCTTTCAAGAGAGTTTTTCAACAGATAACAAACTGACTATAACGTACTTATCAGGAAATTGCTGAAATATTCATCATTCTCCAGTTAGTTTAAGCTAATATTCATTTCCATTTTATTGCATATTTTCTGTTGATTCTTGTTACAACTCATCAAATTCCTCATCAGTTATTTCACCGACAGTATTATTCAAATCATTATTACAGAGCATATAGGCCTTAACTTGGGTCCTTGAAAACTCCTTTATAATTTTCAAGAACTGAATATTGAATATGTTGATCAGAATTCTGTTAGCAAATAGAAACAGTGCATAAAAATTATTCAACCCCCGAAACCTTTTTGAAAGCACCAAAGGTCGAACGGCCATCCATTGTGAAACCATTATAGCTATATAATTAAATAAGACTAACATAATTATGTTGAAAGAAAAAGGCCGATTAGGTTAGTTTTTTTGATACCATTAATAATTACAGCTTGGCAAATCTAGCTGTGGAAAGTACAATCTGGAAAAGAATTTTGGCTTGAATAAATTCGGCAAGAGAATAATTACTCCACTAGCACGATGTTTACTACACGAGTTCCTCGATGTTGATGAGCTCTCATTCCGCCGGCGGATCTTCTGCGCATCCAATAATCAAAGAAGAATTCATATGGATTCGGACAAACGGATTTTATATGCATTACAAATTAAGTCATGATCAGGGTCGATGCAATGGGAATATAATAATGATAATAAATTGGAAAGTGGTATTTATGTGACTCGTTGATGAAACATTCGATCAATGATTAACTCGTTCAAGTGTTTATTGAAATGATGACGATGAAACTTCTCAACTTGGCCCACAAATTCTTTCACTACTTTATGTGGGTTTGAGAAAATATATTTCCAAATAAATATGCTCCTAAGGTATATGGAGTTCATTAAATATACAAATAAAATTCAACAAATTGTGACAATGAGCTCTGGTTTCCCAACCACAAAGACTTTGAACCAATATCTCAATAATCAATGCCAAGATGTCTAAAATATGAATTTCTGAATTGAAATATGTAATTCTAAATTGACGCATGCAATTAGGACAAATTTAGCAATTCACAGATAATTTATTAATTACTTGACTTGAAGATGTATTCCTATGGCCTCGTTAAGTAGTATAGTGTCATACTTGTATATCTGGCTGAGTTTTTTCCACCCTGTAACTTTTTCTGTATAAATCACAATCCAAACGAATTTTTTTTCGAAAAATTGACACAAACTTTTTGAGGAATGTTTTTCCAGGACAAGAATCCGAAAATAAGAGTTGAAAAGGAAAATATCTCAAAGAACTTTTTATTTTTATTATTATTCAATGGTCACTGGCAACACATATCAATCACATGCTGTATGACATAGAATTACCAACTTTACGAAACATTTTGAATTTGTTTTCGGTTGATCTGTTCAAAAAGCATTACGGAAATTGAAAGAGAATAAAAAATCGTTTTTTTTTCCTGAATATGTTCAAAACAAAAGTAATAAGTAAAATAGAGGATTACAGATGTAATCTGTGATAGTCTGTGATGAAAATACACTCGTGTAAAAGTTACTTGTTGATTTATTTGTAATTATTCAAGTTGATTTCATATAATTCGTTTACTACTAAACAAGCTGCTTACATAAACGTATATGTTGAAAGCATACGTTGAACTTTCGCTAATTTAAGAAACAAAATAGTTGTAGTGGGACTTCAAGAACATTGAAACCACAAACCTATATTGTGTCGATATAGTTAGCTCACACTTATTTTCGTTAAATATTCATTTATTCAATTCTCCTGCAACTTAATAAGTAGTGTAACTTTTTTTAACTTTCAGTACCTTACTAGAAATGGTGCTTGATTTGTTTCAGCAGATTTTCCGAAAATAAGTACAGTGATCAAGACTCGTTTGAGTCAATGCACCCAATTTAGAACACCCTGTATATATGGCAATAGTGTTTTTATTGTAACATGGTAGCTCAGGGTCACTCACTTCCAATAACAATAGAGTAAATGTTACTGAATTGAAAATACCACAAGGGACATTTTTTGCCATATTCTGGCGAATATCATTCATTTTAATTCAAATTATGTTTTGAATCATTGAATTCTTGACTTTTAGGAAAAATTTCTCTAGTGGTATATTGATTCAATGCAAATAAATGTTTTTACACATACCTACCTACTTTTTATACACAACAGATCTGTACCATTGTTGAATTTTTAACTCAAAACCGACAAAATACAATAGAACTGGAATAATTTACAGATATCCCCACAAGAAGGTTCATAAAACTTGGATTTTTTTCATCTACAAATATATTGTTGAAATTTTGGCTTGAAAAATTATAAATCGATTCAGTGAAGGTAAAATCTAGAATAATATAACAAATTTCCTAATTGTCAAAGAGGTGTCATATAACGGAATATGAAATGAATTTAATTTTTCAGTTTCGAGAGACCATTATTGAAAAATTCGTCTTTTTGAACCTTCTTCATAATAATAAGTTGTTGAGTGCCAACTACCAGAAGCTAGTGATGTTAAGTTTTAGTATTTTATTACGAAAATAACTAGCTGCAGTTATTACTGACAAAAATGGAGTAGTTTAAAATTTCAGCTGAAAATTGTTTTATGAGTATTCGTAAAGTTATTTTGCGAAACGTTGTAAATTAATTTTTAGGAAAAACATCCTTGGCAATGTAATAAATTAGTCTAAGTAATTGTAACGACTGGAATATTATACATCTATGAAATATACCGGTACTAGGAAAAATAGTTTGATTACTTTGCCTTACACATTGTTCTCAGATTTCATCCTTTTCTTTCGACCGAATGAAAATTTCTTTTATGATTTCTAAAGTGAGTTTTACAAAACTGGTCACTGGGACTTACTGACCAAATGAACCTTGATAATACTCAGAATCTGCACTTTTAGTAAGTTTTACGGGAAAGAAGCAGTATCGAGATGACCATAAAAAGTGGTTTCGCTAGCTCTGCTATGCCATTGCGTTTGTATTCCAAACATTCGTGATGGAATCGAATCAGATATCATTCACAGGATTTCTACACAGTATAATTGATGAAAGAAGTAAATTTCACTTTGAAACACTGTCATCTTCACTGGATGACATACTTGTCCGTTTGGCCCAGTCTGCACTTTATTTTGTGCACCTTCAGCTTTGTTCCCATTGATCGTTTGGTGGTTCCGAAGTAGGTGGTTCTTGAAAAAGTTGGGTAGCTTCATTCGGTAAGATCCTCTTCTTCAATATCAGTTTCTTGAGGAATTTCAATCTTGGAGCGGAGCAATAGTAGTCGCTAGAGATACTCTGAATTAAAAATTCTCTATATCAACAAGGAACTGCTAAATCTGATTATCGAAACTATTATTGACTCCCTGGCAAAAGTAATTGCTGCAAGCGGTTCCTTTGGATCAGAACTATTTACCGGCATCGCTATTGGTCTTGCCAAATAAACACCGAACACCTGGACTACAAGAACAGATTCAGACTGCTGTCACGAAATAACCGTTAGACTAGAGAAGGTATGATCTACGCTGTTTTACATACTTTCTTTCTACTACTTAGGAGCCGTCTCATTGGTCCATTTCTCGACCGAAAAGGGATTCAGTATACCCTAGGTGTTGCTGAAGGCTGTCTAGGGTTCTTAGTCGACCTTAGACCCTCTCTGATAGTTGTCGTTGGCCGAAATATGGGTTTCACGTCGTGTTTCCCTGAAATTCTCCTAATTCGGCCTGTAACATTTTCAAAATAGGAAAGGAACGCTTTTCCCTCAACGGGACTAGCTGGGATCACTTTGGCGTTTTACCCCCTGGATCATGTAACCCGCTTTCCTGTACCCATTTGTAGGCATTTTAAGTGATTGAGTTCCTCAGGGAACCTCTTAGGTTCACAGCCATGATATGTCCACCGCAGTAGTAGACGAAATGTAAGGCATAAAAACCTGCGGACCACAGTTATGAAACGCTGACGACCAAACATTTTGATACCCCCACAGCAAGTTCAGAGCCTATAAATGAAGTTGATGTTATTATTTTTTTTTCCTGTACATGTGAGTCTTCTGTAGGTGTTATTGCTATTTTCATAATGGAAGTAAACTTGGATATCTTTGGAAATGAAAGACCCAGCTCATACAAAATACGAAACATTTTTTGTACTGCATGGTAATCATCTTCAAAACATCCCAAATATACATCTTTCACCAACATCTCCTACTTTTAGACGAGTATGGAAGTCGACCGCTGCATCGGTTCTCCAGTCCCAGACCGCCCTTCCAGCACCCAAAGCAGCAGATCTTCAACCCCCTTTGCCCTGCCATTTCCAACCATTCCAACTTCGCTCCTAGAAGTGGGTTTGATGCACCCCGCTCTTCTTGGAGAAGAAATGTTTCGGTGTTCTTCGTGCATGGCAGCGTTTCCATCGTTGTGGCTTCTGGAGCAGCACACTGCTCTACAGCACATAGGATCCATAAGCTCTTTGGATAAGCCATTTGTGTGCGAGCAGTGTGGACAGAGCTATAGGTAAGTGCGTAGAGTTTTTGGTCTTTGAATCTGTTGAATGTAAGATCCTACTGTAGCTAATGAGCGGATCAATATTTTCACAAGCAGCACTAGAGGCACTGACGAACTCAAAAGTAGTATTAAGAAAATACCATGAGGAACTAAGGAACCTGGCAAAAAGGAATAGATTGATTACGTTCCTAGACAATCCCTTTGTGGGTATATATACTTTCCCAGTAGTCTTTATGTTCCTCATAGAATCTTCAGATCTAGTTTCGTCCCAAATATTTTGGTATCCGAACAGTTGGTTCTGGAATTGATTATCTATGTTTGGTATACTCGTTAGATTTTCAGCTTTTTCTTTACATGTGTTATCTTGGTGTCCTGGCATCCAGTATATGTCAAATCATCCCTGTCCACCAGTTTCCCCAGTTCTCAGCATTTCCAAACCAGTCTCGATAGCATTTTTGGAGTTCATCAGTGCCCCAAGTTAACATCTTTATATTATTCAAATAACATTTTTTATTTCGATTTGAAAAAACTAGTTAATCTTCAGTAATAAAGATATAGATATATGTATAGATATTTAGATAAGTATAGACAGAAAAATAGACATAGATATAGATCCAGATATAGAAATTCAATGCCTAATGAAAATGCTACTGTAATGATTTTTCTTAGCAATTTAATAATGTAAATTTCATTACAATACCCTTACTAGACCTGCAGCACTTCAACTGTAACATTTCAGGTATCGATCTGCATACGTGAAACACAGAGAACAAAATCATAGGGCCAGACTTCCTGCCGATAAACTTTTTTCCTGCGATGTCTGTGGCATGCAGTTTCGTTACCTCAAGTCCTTCAAGAAGCACAGACTAAATCACGCACTTGAAAAACTCCATGGGAAGAGCGGAGATATCCCCAAGGAAGTGAAGAATACCGCTGAAGATGAGAACGTCGAGGGTAACCAGGATAATAGCAGCGACCAAGTTTCCAGCTCTAACGAAACCATCAATGTCGAGGAGGAAAGCAGTCCTATTGTTGTCAAAACTGAAAATATTTCGGATGATGTTGCAGGTATTTATTATCCTTTGAGGAAACTTTTCTGGCAGGATTATCGAAATTATTTTACTCATTGCCGAACATGATACATGTTGCTTTGCATTTTCCTTCTAATATTGTTTATTTCAATGTGTTAGACAATGTATTGATCTGCATAAAAGTGTCCAGGTTGTCACCGTTTTGGAAGAAACGGGACATTGGATATGTTATGGAGGAACACAAATTTGAAACACCTAAAGAATGAGTGGTATACCGAGTGTAAACTGATTTGGGTACCCCTATATCTTTTTGGTTTCTTCTGGTGGTTCATGTTTGATATCACAAGTGGAACACCCATTTCATCAAGACTATCCTATTGCTAAGTGCTCAAAAAATTTGGGTATAGGAATCTGTAATCACCGGAAATCCCGATTCTCATGAGTTTTGCTCAAGCTGATTCACAATTATCGAAATGTTAGTGAAACAGGAATCTTCAGTCAAATATACAGTTTTGCTGGTATACTGTGTGCTCTTTTTGTGTCTTTTCCCAATGCATGGTACTTTTTCTTTCAGCCGAAGGAACGTCGTCAGACGCCGAAAAAACCGAAGCCGAGCAAGACGACACCATAGACTCCATAGCCTACTCCTTCCAAGGTAACCCCTCCACTTGCGCGTCCGAACTACTACGCACTTCAGAGTCATCTATAATCAACTTCCTCCGCGCAGATTCTGCTGAGAGACAACGAGAAAGAAGATTCGCCTGTCCCTTCTGCGGGAAATGCGTACGCTCCAAGGAAAACTTGAAGTTGCACGTAAGAAAACATACTGGGGAGAGGCCGTTCGTTTGTCTTTTTTGCGGTAGGGCTTTTGGCGGCAAGAGCGATTTGACGCGCCATCTTAGGATCCACACGGGTGAGAGGCCGTATCACTGTGATATGTGCGGAAAATGCTTCGCCAGGGCTGACTATCTCTCGAAGCATCTCACTACTCACATAAATACTCCCCGCTAAACGAGAATCGGGTGAAACTGTGGAAATATGTTGTAGAGGACTATAAGGTTTTAGTTTTTCGATACAATGAAAAATGATCACGATGGTGGGGGAGCCCAAGGGGGGATTTTGGGATTCACTCTAACGCGATAGATAAACATATGAGGGCATACCGTGTATCCTGTTGAAGCCGTCTACCTTATATGAACCCTCAATTAAGAGCGGAACAAGTAGGTAGCCCATCATATTTATGAAAAAAAAAGTCGCGCGTCAGAAATATTCGGATGCGTCACATCTCTCAATTTCGAGGTAAGAAGGGTACAAAATCTGACCATTTGAGTGTAACATAGGGGAGTAGAACGGTCACAAAATTGCAAACTAAACGTTGCCTTGACATTCTCGAGCGTGTTTGATTCTTTTTCAATCCAGAGGAAATAATGTTAGAATCACAAAAATGATATAATCTGACGATTTTCACAAGCCGAAGTAACAACGGAGCTCAGCAGTGAAACTCTAAGAATGCTTGAGCGGTGAGGTCCATAATCCACGCGTTCATCTTTGAATCTCTCCGATACGCATTCCATCCTTCTCTGCATCGATTACGTCACAGGTGTCTCTCTCCCAGTCGCTAAAGTCTCTTTGAAATACTTACCAATGACGCGTGACCTTGAAATGCGCCAGAACCTGCTTTGTTCTCCTACTATCAACAGACGCAAATTTAGGAGGGGGTATGTGGGAGTGTTATACAGAGCTTTCTTTAACATTCACCACAAGACTACTTTATTCATGACATCTGACAAATAGAGGAGTACAAGTACAAGTGACAACGAATCGTGAATTACTGGCGACAAAATCAAAAATCAATGACGAACGGATACCTAAAATAAAAGCATAACATTCAATTCAACATTCCAACGTGTTTTCAGGTTGACTTCCTAAGGTTATTACTTATTGTAACTTACTGTGAAGCGTGTGCAGAATCTATGTCAAATTATAAACGGCGCCCAACGTGGGGCAATTCTATCGAGTTAATTTTGTTTCAAGTATGGAGTGTACCGACTAACTCTGGAAATTCATGTGAAATATCAACATGAGAAATTAGGTCTTCTTTTTAATCGAACAGCGATCAAGGTATGCCAAGGGTTCTCTACCTGAATGAAATGGGTAGGGCTGATAAAAACAATACGCCGGCGTTGCCAAAAGCGGTTTCACAAAGGATATTCAAAAAAGTAAATATAATAGTTCGATTAGGAGCAATACTACAACATACAAGTTTACCAATTTAATTTTTTTTTATCCTGATAAAAATGTTTGCCCGCTTCAATAGTAAATTCATTCAAAACGAACCTGAACAAGCTGAATGGAAAATTGAAGATGGAAGTTTCACTGGAGCAAGTCAGCAAGTCAACTTCGTCTCCAAAATGGATTAAGTCAATCGAAAGAACGTTTATATGCCTAACTATAGTTTGGAAATCTAGAAAAGTCATTAGAAGTTTCTAGAAGAGCATGAAAATTCGGAAGATCATGGCTTTACTACACTCTAAAACATGATTGTAAGAAACGCATTCTCAGTCGAAATAACTTAGCCATTCTCCAAGCAATCTTTGACAAAGCCATACTATCTAGGCCTATAAAAATACATAAATAACCTCATGTGGACCAAATGAATTTTCATCGGCCATTCTAAACACACAAGATATTATAAAAAGTCGACACTGAACAGCGATGTACTTAGGTCTTGTATCACCAAATTATATTTTATGTAAGGGGTATTCTGATTCTGAAATTGAAACCTTGTCCCATTTTCATTGTACCGAAAATTACAACCGTCTTTCATTTTACAAAGTTCATTCATATTTCTACAGGTCATAATTTCGAAATTTGTTAGATTACGTTGCAATATAAAACAGCTCTGTTGAGTTTCTTCTGAAATTGATAATTATTTTCCAAAAGCACTCAGAGTGGTCAAAGGTTCTGTGAAATCTGTGAAAGGTGTAATAAAGAATCACAAATAGAAAACTATAGCAAAATGGTTTTTGTTGTGACCACTCTGTGTACTTTGTTCACTTGCATTTAATTTACACTGAAAGTGCCTATAACGAAGCGATTCGAAATTTGAATTTGTTGCTTCAAGGCTTTTCAATGAAATCACTGTTTCTGCAATAACCACACAAAGGTTTTCAATGATTCACGAAAAAACTCTGGTATCAATGTCTACTTTCGAAGTGTAGCTACCTAAAAAAAACATTCAAATCATTCAAGTGATTGAGGTTTTCGGTTTTTGCTTCTGGAAACCTTTCAATCATCAATTAATTGGTTGGAGTATCATAGAAGTGTAGGTATACTTCTGGCTCATGTAACATTCTTACAGTATTTCTCCAACGATTTTTTTAAACTTGAACACAAATCTACGGAACGTTACTTAGCTTAGAGGTTTTTGCGTACAAGACATGAAAGAACAATCACAAAATAATTGCCAATATTCATTTCGAAGAGTCACTTTGAAATATCGCGTCATTTATAAAAATTTAAAGATACTAAGATCATATTCAGATACTTATACAATATAGGTTCTTTGAGCGTTTGTATACTCTATAAGAATAGCTTCTTTGGGCGTGTTTCGCTATTCAAAAGCACCTTGGGGCATGTCTGTACTTATACAGTGTAGCTTCCATAAGCATATCTAAAATGTATAAGTATAGCTTATTCAGGTGTGTTTCGCTATACAATAGCTTCTTCGGGCGCGTATGTACTTAAACAGTATAGCTTATTCGAACGTATATATAAGTATAGCTTATTCAGGCGTGTTTGGCCATACAATAGCTTCTTCAGGCGTGTCTATGTTTATACAGCGAAACACGCTTGAATAAGCTGTACTCATACAGTGTAGATACGATTGAAAAAGCTATACTGTACGCGCGAAGAAGCTATTGTATAGCGAAACGATTCTGAATAAGCTATACTCACACAGTATAGACACGCCTGAAGGAGCTTTACTGTATAAGTATAGACACGCTCGAAGAAGCTATTGTATAGCGAAACACGTGTTGCCTTTTTGTAAAACTGTTCAATGAAAATCTGGAAACTCGTTTTGGAAACTCGTAATTACTGTTCCAGAATATTGAAACATATAGTTCATAGTGTTTTAAGAAGTTACGATAAATAATTGGTATTCTCTGATTTTTGACCAATTCTGTGAATGAAAATAACATTGAGAAGTTTATGCATGAATGGTAAAAGAAGTGTAGGAGTATTGGTTTGAAAATGATCATTGGTATTTTGTTACAAAGGAATAAAAAGGTAAGATTTTGAAAATATAATATTAGAGGGATGATTTTTAAACAAGGAAAGTAGGCACTGTCTGCAATGAATACTAAAAATGAAATTTAATATTTCGTTATTGCTGAAGGTTTAATGCAGGTGTGTTTGACATTTTCATGAAAGTAGTTGTAATTGAAATCAAATCTCACCATATTATTATTAAAGAAAAGTCTAGTGCTTCGAACTATTGATTTTGTTGAAAGGCCTTGTTCGCTATACAACACTTAAAATTCCAATATCACCTTCCAATTTTTTAACTTTATGCACGGAAATTGATCTACACCGGACACATATGCATTTACAAATGCCAAATTTCGTGCAGTCGTACATTAGCCTTTTCTCCAGACTTGGATCAATTATTGAATTTACTAGATCAGTTCAACATTTTTTCTGTACCGTCCACGTGCAAAGTGTTCTCTCACTGGATCAAAACTATAACTGAAAATCATAATCGTAGATTCACCACCGTGGAAAGCTCTGATCCACAAAGAAAACACTGTTGTATAACCAGTTTGAGAATCATCGATTTACCGTTTATTTGGCTGTGATTAAACTTTAGGTTTGTTGTGATATGCAGTGTATTATTTTTAATTTTAAGGGAGTTACCAAAACCTAAGCAATATGAAAGTGACATCGACGTGAAGTTATTATCTAGTCAAGAGATACTGTGAAACTTGCCGTCACCGCCCCCTCCCCAGTATGTAAGAGAAATATTAGCATACATAGTGACTATTTATATAAACATGTCGTGCCAAAAATTGATGTACCACGTACCTCAAACGAATTAAATTGTAGATGTGTAGTTTGTGTATTGAACTAGTAGAGTTTGGAAATACTTTCCTCCAATTTCTATTCGCCTACTTGATTTTTATTTGTTTTTTTCTGCAATTCGTGAGCAAAACTGTTTCAATGCGCAGAAATGTTATTCAGAAAAAGAAGTTTTATCAAAAATACAAAAATATCTCAAGTTCGCAACCGTTTGTTGAAATTTCTACCGGACGTTTCGCCGGCGCGAGAAACTGGCATCTTCAGCGATCAGTGTTGTCGCTTCCAATCAGCCCTTAGATTCCTTAGAAGCTTGAAAACCCGAAACTACCAAGAGTTTCAACAGATGGCTGCGAAAGTCCAAATTTTTACTTGTGCTCCATCCTCCACACGCAGGTTATTTTTAATCACGGTTGTACATATGGAACTCTACTAGTGTCACTTTACGACATACATCAATGACTCGAACTCACAGGAATGCGATACACTTTGTTTTCCATGTGGCTTTATAAACAGATCTAAAGGACTCAAGTCAGGTGACTGAGGACGCCACTCAATTGCACTTCTTCATCGTTATATCCATGTCCAATCTTCAGAAGGTATGGAGCCTGAAATGACAACATTTTCAATTTGTTGACGATTAGTGAGATAGATTCTTATTAAGTGAAGCAGCATACCAACTCTGTAATAGTTTAATTTTTCCAATAGAATTTCATGTGAGACGCAGTCGAATGCTTTCGACACGTCACAAAGCATCAACGCAGTGATGCTCACGTTCCTCAATCACGCCAGACAATCACTGCATCTATTGTTGAGCGCGACTTTCTGAAACCATATTGTGAGTTGCTGAAAAATTTATTATTCTCAAAGTAGGCATAGAGCTGAATTTTAATTATAATTCCAACCACTTTACTGAATATTGAAATAATACTTATGGGTCTGTAGTTATCAATGGCTTTTTCATCACCCATATTATATATAGAACAAAAGGAAGCAACTGATTGGTCTCCTCAGTCACCCGACTTGAGTCATTTAGATTTTTTCGTGATGATATCAATTTCCGCAACAAACATTAATTGTTGCAAATTAGGATTTCTTAGATACTAATGAATATTTTACTCCGTTGTCTATTGGAGCAGCCAAAATAATTTTTTTCAGTAAAATATGTGCAGTGGGATAATTTCTGAAAAACAATATTGTCAAAATTGTGGCCAGGGAAGACTCAATCGTTGCCTGACCTCAATTTTTTCGGTTATATCAAATTGCTGAACGTATTTCCGAGCTTTACTATAACAATTTTATGTCATTTGAATTAAATGTTTAACATCGAAAATCCTGCCTCAATACAACATACTCACCGATATTTTTCTATAAATGTACAAAGTAACGTCCAATGCATTTGTTAATAGGTTCTTGAAACTCTATTGCTCAATAGAATAACATTGAAATAAAATTTATTATCCACAATGATGTTAAACATTTATTGTTATTTTTATTATAAGGACCCCTTTGACGGAAAGTCACTTCATATGGGGTGTGGTCCTGCATATGATGCCGAAACAAAAGAGTTCCGAGTCTAAGTTTGGTGTACCCAAAAAAATTCAAAATTCATAAAAAGATTGCACATTTTAGTTTCTTGTAGCTGCTGGTTGCCTCATTGGCGAATGAGTACACCATATTTAGAGATGAGCTCATTTGTACTTAATGCACAGTATATTATATTCATATTATATATTCATATGTGTGATATTTAAAGGCTTCAGGACAAATCTCAAGCAATTATTTTTCAAGCATTTGTGCCTTCACACAGTAAACTTCAATTCACTGAAATATGATCTTTCTCATTTTTTCTTGCCAACAATAAGATCTCTATGATTTCGAAATGTGATCTCAAAGTTGCATGTTTTGATGAATTAATTGGATAGGTTTTATTGTTAAAGACAATAGGTGTTACACACAGTCGGAAGGGGGCCTGAGCGGTGATGTGGAGTACTAAGAGGGCCGAGGGCGGAGTATTAAGGAAGCTGATAGGTTAGGTGGAGTACCAAGGGGGCCGAGGGGCGGAGTTCCACGCTTAAATCGCTACTATACTCGTTCCATCCTGCGTCGATTTCGATGACGTTTCTCACACTCCCAAGTGGTCCAGAATCGGTGTTGTTCATCTACTAACGTAATATTAAAAAAAAAAAAATTGATTTACTTTGTGAACTACGATATGCATCCAATGCCATGATAGGTCCAGTAACAATCGATTACTGGATGAAGACAAGTATAAAGACCTTTTTCCATTCTTGATTGCAAGCCAAATCGCCAACTAGGCGCTATGAGCTTCCAGGGATGAGGTAGAAAAAACGTTTATGAAGGAACCCTTCCCAAATTCAGGAAAGACCTCATGAACCACACAATCAGGTTTATGGTTAGGTACAAGTGGTAGGTCTACTGAGGGAGCCTGGTGGAAGAAACTCGATACAGGTTTTGCCAGGAGGAAGAAGAAACCACGCAACACATGCTATGTGAATACAAAGCATTAGCAAGGCTAAGGCATGGGAGGTCCGAGAATGAGAAACCAGAGGCTATAAGCTATATGGAGGAGCCGAAACCAAGACTTTGGAGTCTCATTGAAGAGATCAAGCGAAGAGCTCTGTTAACCAAAGAGCATCACAATAGATCTGCTGAGTTGCAGACCACATGCCAGCTCTCGTATTAATCTAATCTTGTTATTTCCATAATCCAGATTACCAATAAAACTTTGTTTCAAGTATCTGCAATCTTATTTTTTTGAGCTCGGTTATTATTCAGAAGAAGCTTTAGCATTTCTCTTCAACTTTGAATGCAAATTTTATGGCTTTCAGAAGGTGTGATTATTCCTAGTTTGTGTACATCATATTTACTCTTCTCGATTGTTCCTCAAAAAATTCCGCTGTCTTCTATTGTCTTCAAAAACAGTAGCTATCCAATAAATTTGACATAACCCTCGTAACCTTACTTTTGTACATCCTGGTATAATATGAGAAATCTTATATTATTTAAAATGAAAGTACAGATTATTGTCCTTGAGCACAAACAGTCCTTCCATATTTCATAAGAAATATTAAACTTGGTGGTTTTTGCTATTTATGTAAATGTAAATAAATGAAATATTGAGAATAAATGTTCCTAAATGAAAGTGAAATATTTGAAAATATTTTTGTGTATGTAAATATTCGATGACATTGTCTGCTGAAGGAAATTTTGTTTACATTTTTTTAGGAGGGGCATAGACTTATAAATAAATGTGCTTAGATGTTGTTCCTTGATGTTGTCATATAGTTTGTGTTAGCAAAAATTTATATTGTCAAATTTCGGAAGAGAATTGAAAAGATGGAAAGTGTGTCGTTAGAACAGAAATTAATTAAACATTTTAAGGTGTCATAATTCTATTACCAAACAAAACGTTATCAGTTGAAATTTAGTTCAACTATATCGGTCAGTTTCCAGACGACATTTTTTTGACAATATTTTTATAACGTTGTTAATCCACCGAAAAATTTTAGAGAGATATTCCAGGTGAATCTCCTGTCGGTAAGTTTTGTGCTTCGAGATTTTGAACTAATTAATAGGAAATGTATAAAAAAAGAATACAATATCGTTTACATAGCGTCAAAAACAGTTCTACAAAGCTTTAAAGCACCAAAAAACGTCTAGAAAGCATCGGGAAGTGTCCAAGAAACGTTTTTCCAAAACATTTTGACGTTTTTATGTCAACTGTCACATTATTTGGACGACAGTTGATGCCGTGACGCTCCGACGTCAGTTGACAAGTGTTTGAAAATGTCCAAACGAAGTTTTCTCGCTTTGTAGATACTCTTTGACCAGTATACATCACTTTATAATGTTGATAATGACGTGTATAATGAAGAAATGCTTAATATTCAGCTAGTATTTTGGGAAAAAACTTTTTGAACGCGACTTCTTCATCACAGAACCAAAAATGTGTCAAACTTCCAGAGAATGGAAGAAAGTTGTATTTTTAGACAACGCCACACTTTTCATTTTTTGCCATGTTATTGTTGGAAACGGTCTCATTATAGAAAACAACGAAATAGTAACTCTCACGGCCTAGTATATTTCATCATAGTCATTAAAAAAACGAGACCAGATTATTTGTGATGTTCAATGAAGTCTCTCAAATTCGAGTGCTTCAAATTAAAGTGATATTGGATGGAAAATGGATTTGCTCAGTAATTCAAAGTGTAATGGTGCTGTTACTATTAAAGAATATGTGATATAGAAATGTTGATAAGTAGTTTTATGATATATTTCTTCAGACAAGGTGTTTTCAAAAATATGTTGGTGACAGACAAATATAATAACGTATTCAAAAAACAAATTAAAGTGTGTTTTTTGAATATGAGATAAATATGAAGTACTGACAAATCGGCAAAAAATCATTCAAGCCAAAGTAAGCTGTTCTTTCTTGCCATAGGGATCTTGCCATTGGGAAATTAATTAATTTGAGATTACTGAAACTGAAAACGAATAACTTGATATATTTTTGAAATCATTCCTTGGTGAATTAACTACATTACTGTAAGAATCAATTATGAACGAGTTGATGGGTTGTATGAAGTGATCAGACGTTTTATATTTTTTAAGAAATTACAATTAATACTTTTTTATTTTCATTTCATTATACACAAGATAGTATTCTATATTTTCCAAAAGCGCAGAAGGATCACACATTTTAATTCCTCATTTCTTGGATGATTCCTACAGAAAATCTCGAAATTTCAACTGTACGAGTCGGAATTTGGCCTTGAAAACTAATGTTTCAAGGTCAGAATTTTCAGTTTGGTGTCAAACTCTTGAGTTTAAAATCAAAATTCAACTATTGAAGTCGGAATTATTCAGAAACTAACGGTTTGCAGCCCTTTTGCGCTTCCATAATGATTTATATGCTATGCTAACAGAAATATTTTATCAAAAAACCATGAAAGAGTTCTTGTATTGAAATAAAAAACTGACTGGCGCCTACAAATTGGTCATAACCAACAAACATTTGTTACTTTTCTCAAAGAAATATTTTCGGAATATAAGTCGGTCAATCTCGTATTAAAATTCATTATTCATATTCATGTGGTTCTTATATAATATTGAAAATGTTTATATATGTGTATAAATTTTTTGATGTTGTGTAATATACAAACAAGTTCATGAAATTGTCATTTCCAGAAAATGGACGTATAAATAAAGATTTTAATTATTGTGAATTTGCATATTTATTACCAGCATGTTGATTATAAATTCTGTGATGAAAATTGAAAAACTCACCTTAACAATTCATTTTTTTTTTCAACTGAGAGTTCAGAGACTCAAGTGTATGTTTAAAAATATCGTTCAATGTTATTCAACATGTCTTCACAAAATGAGAGTTCTGAAATTGGTCAGTTTTTTCGTCAAATCTTGACATTGATAAATTATAAAAGCTGGCCCAAAAAATGAAGACTCTTTCATGCAATTTGGTGCTCTAGACTTGCTTTATCTATTTTGGCAAAACTAAACTTCTCTATTATTCTGGAGAATTCATGTACACCACCCTGTCATGAAGTGGTTGGATTGGCCTGAAGTTATGTTCCAACTTTCCTTCTTGTCCAGAGAGTTCCCTAAATTCTTGCAACTGAAAGATAAAATATCAATATAATATGATGAATTTCAATTCTCAGCTAATTGTCAATAATTGGTTAACAATGATGTGAATATTTACTCCACAAAGGCTTGAATCCATTTGTAAGAAATGGGCCGTAACGTGTAACCTCGAACATGTTACGTTACGGCTAAACTCGAACATGTTACGTTACGGCTGGTGGAGACGAAGTGCTGTTGCATTTTCATCTTACTACTTCGCATAACCGTACGGGCCGAACCGACAAGTCGAGGTTAGTATTAAGTTAGGTTAAGTCCAAAGTGAATGAGTGTATTCGACCCTCCACCGCAACCCGAGAAGGTTTATTGTAGCTCACGGCTCTGTCGAACTCTAAACACCTGATTCGTTCCCCTGCGGGGCAGGCACAACGTATATGCTCTGCTGTTCCATCGTTAATGAGGTGGGGTTTGTTCCTCCACCAGAGACAGATTCTGCGTGGAAGCAGGCATCCGAGATGAGTATACATGTATCGCATATCTTTGTCTGTTGTATGCGGCGTTTAGTACCTTGTTCAAGGCTATAACTGACGAACCGTGTCAAAACGAGCCGAACATGTACAGTGCTACGTTACATAGATACGCTGTTCAAGCCGGAAAACCATTGCAAGCGGCGTTATTTCGTTATAGAATCGCTTACACTGCTAAAACTCAAAATATTTCAGGAAGTGAACCGTATTATCTTCCAAGGAGCCGAACATGTACGGTGTTACGTTACGGGATATTAGGTTATATGGATACGCCCATTCAAGCCGAAACACCATTGCAAGTGGCGTTATTCCGTTCCTTGTTTCGTTACGTTACGGAAAATGTTTCTGGAAGAAAACCGTGTCATTTAGCAACGAGCCGAACATGTACGGGCTTATATACAGTACGGGATATTGAAAACTGTAATATCATCTGAAATAACTCAAAATACTTTGGATGTTAGTATCGTTTTCGAGTGACGATTGGACTATTCTTCCGAGAGATGACTATTTATATGTCATTTCAGCGCTTTCACCTATCCCCTCTCCCTTTTCTCTGCTTCCCCAGCTTAGCGGGAGTTGACCGTTTGATTACAGATTTCCATATGTTGCATATATGCAGCTTCTTTGAACTTCCTCTCAAACCAGTGTTCGATCTCAGCTTGGGACCATGTGATGTTATGTTGATGAGTCCAAACATGCTCTACTATTCTCGATGAGCTTTCAAAAATCTGTAGACTAATCAAAGTTGCAAGGGGAATTACATCATGAATTCAAAACTCCTCCCAACACTTATAAAATGAAAGTAGTGCTTGAGAATATTATTGAAAACATATCAACAACAATTAAATTCGATGGATGGAAAAGACATGCTGAGTATGTATGCCATCAGAATACCAGTCGAATAATATGGATATACTCATGAAATTTCAGTTACATTTGTGAGGTTTTTACACAGGGAAAAAACTAGTTTTCATCATACTCGTACCTGATTGTGAGAGAGCTTTATGGTGTTTTTGAACTCTATCCAAATCACTACTTCTGAACATGGTGGTGTAGTGAGAGACCCCCTATAAGTGAAATAATGGTTCCTGTCAGTTGTAGTGAAATCGTCCAACGAAACGAATCCATTAATGTCAACACTCGATCCTACATCCTGAACTAAAAGTAACTGCTCTGCAAACTGCTCATAATTTTCGTTATCTTCACTTGTAGCCTGGAAAATAGAGAACAATCATTTCTATCATTATTTGTTAGTTGATTCGTTTTTAAAATACTATGAAATTATTTTGTAAGTATGTATATTTTGATGTAAATATGTGAATCCGATGAGTTTACCAATAACTTCTGAAATTCGTTCACCATTTGTAACTTATGGTGAGTTTTCCATATTCTACAAAAATAACCAACACATTATTTTGAAATTTAAATGGTGAGCCAGTTGGCTTTCCAATTAGACACTTGTCTTATGCCCCATCAGCACCAATCTGGATGATATCATAAGATAAAGCACTTAATCAATTCATACCATTACAACTTTATGTCATGAAGGAGATAACTATACTCAGTCCCGATGGCAGTACGTAGACAGACGTTCATACGCTATTATTTTCCTTTTTTGTGTGAAGAAAGAGAAGTAGAAAACAAAAAACCCTTCTTTCTCAAACTTCCTCTACTAGTAATTAAAACGTAATGTTGTAAATCGTGTCCTGAAAAAAAATAACGCAGACCGCCACTGGTAGCCATAAACCAATTGTGACATAGCTAATAACGCGCGAATGTATCATGTTCGCTGCCGTTCTAGATGTGGCGAGAATAATGCTACCAACTTCAATGGAATTCCGGCAAATTCTCTACCGCATTCGGTTAAAATGCTATAAATGCTAGCCACGAGCATATCGACACAGTTAAGTGGAAGTTACAGTGCGGTACGCGAAGCGATCTAGTAAGGCGATAAATATTCGAATAATAGTTGTAGTGTTAATTGTATTTAAAGTGAAATAGAGTTAGGTTTGATTATTGTTTAGTGTAGTCAATTATTGGTCAACCCACAGGGAAAATTGTAAGTGGAATAATTCACTGATCAAAACTGAACTTCTCTATTATTCTGGAGAATTCATGTACACCACCCTGTCATGAAGTGGTTGGATTGGCCTGAAATTATGTTCCAACTTTCCTTCTTGCCCAGAGAGTTCCCTAAATTCTTGCAACTGAAAGATAAAATATCAAGATGATATTATTAATGTCAATTCTCAGCTAATTGTCAATAATTGGTTAACAATGACGTGAATATTTACACTACAAAGGCTTGAATCCATTTGTAAGAAATGGACCGTAACATAACCTCGAACATGTTACGTTACGGCTGGTGGAGACGAAGCGCTGTTGCATTTTCATCTTACTACTTCGCTTAACCGTACGGGCCGAACCGACAAGTCGAGGTTAGTATTAAGTTAGGTTAGGTCCAAAGTGAATGAGTGTATTCGACCCTCCACCGCAACCCAAGAAGGTTTATTGTGGCTCACGGCTCTGTCGAACTCTAACCACCTGATTCGTTCCCCAGCGGGGGAGGCACAACGTATATGCTCTGCTGTTCCATCGTTAATGAGGTGGGGTTTGTTCCTCCACCTAAGACAGATTCTGCGTGGAAGCAGGCATCCGAGATGAGTATACATGTATCGCATATCTTTGTCTGTTGTATGCGGCGTTTAGTACCTTGTTCAAGGCTATAACTGGAAATGATTCCGGAGGCGAACCGTGTCAAAACGAGCCGAACATGTACAGTGCTACGTTACATAGATACGCTGCTTCAAGCCGGAAAACCATTGCAAGCGGCGTTATTTCGTTATAGAATCACTTATACTGCTAAAACTCAAAATACTTCAGGAAGTGAACCATATTATCTTCCAAGGAGCCGAACATGTACGGTGTTACGTTACGGGATATTAGGTTATATGGATACGCTCATCCAAGACGAAACACCATTGCAAGTGGCGTTATTCCGTTCCTTGTTTCGTTACGTTACGGAAATGTTTCTGGAAGAAAACCGTGTAATTTAGCAACGAGCCGAACATGTATGGGGTTATATACAATACGGGATATTGAAAACTGTAATATCATCTAAAATAACTCAAAATACTTGTGATTTGGATATATGAAACCTCCCATATACATGAACAAGTTTGTACAATTTTGGAGTTCAATTAAATTGTGTAACTGCTGGATTGAATGATTGCCAATTTACAGAGTGGACTCTCGTTACATTTATGACAGTTTGATGTTCCATAAGATTATTATATTATTAGAGTGATAGAAGATTCATGAAATTATATATGTATCAAACATTCTCTACCAAACCGTTTCAGATTAAAATCGTATTAGGAATTCAGGCGGATTCTATAATGAAAACGAAATTCATATGTACAATATCATCATCAATATTGAATACGAAATTGTGTAATCGAAAATAAAATGGGGACCCTAGATGAACTATGTCATTTCTATCTCTTGATATGAAATGGAATTTTATATTATTTCACTTCCTTGGGGTTTGTTTTAAAGTGGTTGACAATGTTTCATGGTGAATTTTACTAGTGTATTTTACTAGTTCGAAATTTCACGATGTCTTGATTGTTAGTATCGTTTTCAAGTGACGATTGGACTATTCTTCCGAGAGATGACTATTTATAAGTCATTTAAGCGCTTTCACTTATCCCCTCTCCCTTTTCTCTGCTTCCCCAGCTTAGCGGGAGTTGACCGCTTGATTACAGATTTCCATATGTTGCGTATATGCAGCTTCTTTGAACTTCCTCTCAAACCAGTGTTCGATCTCAGCTTGGGACCATTTGATGTTATGTTGATGAGTCCAAACATGCTCTACTATTCTCGATGAGCTTTCAAAAATCTGTAGACTCATCAAAGTTGCAAGGGGAATTAAATCATGAATTCAAAACTCCTCCCAACACTTATAAAATGAAAGTAGTGCTTGAGAATATTATTGAAATCATATCAACAACAATTAAATTCGATGGAATATAAATGCTAGCCACGAGCATATCGACACAGTTAAGTGGAAGTTACAGTGCGGTACGCGAAGCGATCTAGTAAGGCGATAAATATTCGAATAATAGTTGTAGTGTTAATTGTATTTAAAGTGAAATAGAGTTAGGTTTGATTATTGTTTAGTGTAGTCAATTATTGGTCAACCCACAGGGAAAATTGTAAGTGGAATAATTCACTGATTTTTTTCTGGTTTATGTTGATAACAAGGAGTGTCGGTTACGACGGAATGGAAAAGCTTGAGAAAATATTCGAGGCTTTGCAAGTGAGCGTGGGTGAGACTGAGAAACACAGAAGAGAGGGAGATGAACACAAAAAAAGGAAGAACAATTACGCCGAAATGAAGATCGTGAATTATTACTAGGTAATCAAAAAAAGAGACTTGCTGGTAAATATTCAGGTAAAACAGGAAAAGCAGGAAAAAGACATCCAGATGTACCTTCATTTATTGGAATATTCAAAATCGCACGTTGAAAGGTAAGACCTCGTTAGTCCTTAGCTCGTACAAAACCAAAAACGTCGATCTAACTCCGCCTCTGTGGTACGTGGAAGGAAGAGAGAAAGGGTCTCCTTGTAACTGATATAGACAGAGACAAACTGAGTTCTTAATTGCGCATCATCCTCAGAGGCCAAGCTAGAATATTCATAGTTGTCATAGATTGTGAAGGAAGTTCAATAGAGTTTTATTGATATGGGCTATAACTTCAAAAATGTTTGGCAAATTTCATGTAAATACCTACAGAAATTGTTTCTTTACTCACAATATATAAAAAAGACAATACTGCTAGTCCATCCGTTTCATTAGCTGCTTCAGCAAAAGAACCATGATCGGTCTTGAACATCACCATATGTAATTCTAAAGGGAAGCTGAAACGAAAAAGTAATATACAGAACAAAAATGCATAAGGCATTCGCGGTCGTGGTTTTTCCTGTCACTATTTTTGGGGTTTGGAGGCCGTGGATTATTGGAATTTCTACCTGACGTTTCGCTGACGCGAGTGGCTAACTTCTTCAGAGGTTTGTACATCTTGAGTTCGAATCTCTGATGACTTGATATTACGGCTGCGTAACATGTTTTTATGGTAACTCCTCAGGTAGTTTGGTGTGGTAATACCTTCACCCCTGCTGCTGACAATGGGCCCCTTTTGTCTTTAGCCGCTTTTGTCTGAGGCTTTGTTATATCTTCTTGGTGGGTTCAAAACCGGATTGAATGATGTGTTCTCCCAAGAGTTTTCCAATTATGTTTGTAACCCTAGGGATATAAGGTACGATGGTTGCCTTTTATATTTCGGGATCAACCATCTGAGCCGTCTCCTCGTTTAGAGCCGTAGAACTCTTCAGTTCAATGACTTTGTTGATTTCGGGTACACTGTATACATTTGATCTCATGGTCACTTGAAGATGTTCTAGTTCTTTATCTAGATGCTGTGGTCCAAATATTCGTTGAGCCAGTTCCATTAGAGTGGAGATGAAAAAGGTAGCCACTCGCGCTAGAGAAACGTCAGGGAGAAATTCCAAAAATCGATGGCCTTCAAACCCGAGTATTGACACGAAATGTACAGAGTGTTTGTCAATAACATGTTGATATTGTTTGAGTCCACTTTGAGAAAAACTTCATATGAACATGTTATGAATGGGTTAACTCCTAATCTATAGGGTGCTGGTTTTAAAAAGGTTTTAAAAATATTTTTTTCATTTTTCATGTGTCATGAGAATAAGTACAGCCACTAGTGTTGTTGTTACCGGTTTTACATTGCCTTACCTAAATAGTAAAGCAGAATCGCGGTTAATGTTGCAAATATCTGAAGATGTTTATAAAATAGGCGTAGAAAGGCCATAAGTTTCCTTATACAATTTACTGAAGTCCTTGTCCAATGTCGGAATTCCATGATATTTTGAGATTGTAGAGAAAGTTTCCTAATAATAATTTTGGTAAATACCAACTTCAATCTCTGAAAATTCGAGAGTAACTGAATTCCATTTTCACGAAAATGTGTTGATCTTTCACGTCATCGTGCAAGCTTCGAAACATATCGGAAAATTTGAAAAAAAAACGAAAATACAAATTCAGAAGCAGTTACGAGGGATTATTTTGGGTCAGTTTGGTTCGGTTAGTTTAGAACATCAATAATTAAACTCCCTAATTGCATACCTTTGGTTGTTTATCAAATTTTCTGATCCTTCCTCATCGGTTTTTCCCCAGTGAAAATGGAGCTGGGAAAAATTATATGTTCCCGCTAGAGGTCCTCCAGATATCGATGGTACGGCTCCTCCACTGATAGATACAACAACTAGAATAATTAAATACTAATAATGATGAAGCTGGCCTTTTGACCACAGTTAATATACAATCCTGAGTTTAAGACTTGTAAGTTGTTAATGTTATTTACATTTTCATTTACTACGAATTTCCATTTACCAAAATTAAAAACAGGTTAATTTAATATTTCAATAATCCTCGCATTTGAACTTATTCATGTTAAATCCTTTTAGCACTCCCCCATTTAATTTCTTGCCTGAATAAACTTTCACTTCAAATGACAAAATAATTATTTTTTCTATTGCTTTTCACCATCATCAACTAATCTGCATTTCAAATTGAAAACCGTGAATAGTAATTTCAATTAGCATATAAATAATATATTTGGAAATAACAGTTCATTCATAGGATGAATCAAGATATTCTTTGATTTCTTCTTCTAGTGTCGCAAAATAAATAGGAGAAGTAGAGCAACACACATCGGAAAAGCCTGGGGATATTTTTAAAAATGGCAATATTTTTTTTAGATCGCTTTAGGGAAAAAAAGTTGACGGTTGATTATTAAACGAATGTAACTTACAACAAAATTTATTAAATGGTTAAAAATACTGAGTGCGCATATAAGCAAAACTAAAAAAAATATNAATGTACAAACTCGACACTTTCAGATTATTCATTTTAGCCGAAAACCTACAGTTTGTAAAAAACTTGATAAAAGATTAGTTACCGTTTTTGCAGGCTTTGTTCAACCCATAGAAATCTACAGGGTGGTCGAGTGTACCAATTTAATCGAAATTAAACGACCTCATGCATTATTTTTATGATATTTAGTATGTGTGTATATAGGCATAGGCACTTTTTTCAATTCCTTAATCACCTATGTTCAAATCAAAGAAACATGTTTTCTCTCTTTTTCTCTCTACCTAATTCATATGCGTAGTTTGTGCCCGTTTGTATTCCTACGAAACTGAATAAATGTACGTCAGAAATTTCACATTTTTGTTCTCATTTAATTTTTTATAGAAAAAAACAGAAGTCCTTGTAATTTTCCTTTCGTATTACACGGTACATTCCTTATCAAAGCCTTTTTAATAAGAGTGGAAATGACGAATCATAAATGTGTTCAGAACATGTTTCCGCATGAACCAGATGAGTTTGTAATTTACACACTATTAGAGGAGGAACGCGAAAATTAATTATCAACAAAAACGTTTTACGCGTTTGAATCCTAGGGATTTCTTCTTATGAGACCAACCAGAATATACATTTTATGTGAAATTAATTCATTGTGGAAACCAAAAACACTCAAACTGAATTGTAATAATTTTCAAACAACAAAAAACGTGGCTTGGCTTCATTTTCTTTAAACAAGATATTGATATTGCATTTAGAACAGGTAATACGTTGGAAAAGTTTGTCAAAATTAATAACGACAAAACATCAAAATTCAAGAAATCAAGAGTATATAAATTTAATTGTGGAACTTGTCCTAAGATATATATCTATTGGTCAACCCGGCAGAACATTCACGAATCGAATCCAGGAACATCTTATAAGCTTTATTAAGAAAACAAGTTCAACATATTCAAAGCCTGTATCACATCGCGTCTTGCGTTCATAAGGTTTCTTTTTGACTATTTTACGTACAGTTGAGAAAGGAATTTCGGTCAAATCTAATGTTGCTTGTAATAGTTTGTTTTCTTCGAAACCAAACTTGGATGTAGATTCTTATATACATTGAAACATACTCTCTGTGTTTCAATATTCACTGGTATTTCTTTTTCGCATTGTTCACCATCGCTACTGGAATCACTACACTGGAAAAAGTCTGCGTTGTTATCACACTCGTTATTACTGTTAGTATTTGTCCAAGGACGTCATATTTTGAACAGATAACAGATATTTCAAGTAATTATAACTGCACCAATATCGAATTTCAACACTCAAATCGCAATCAGTTCCTGAACTGAACACGACGGTTTTATTGGCCTTTGACTGTACTTACCGGTATGTCCATTGTTTTTCAGATGTACGCTTTCCAAGGGTTCATCGAAATTTTTGAAGATTAGAGGAGGAAATTTCTGCACAATAACATCCGTTTCTTCAATATCTATAGGACTTTGAAGTTTTCCATGGCCACAGTTTTGGTATCTTTCGCCCCAGAAATTTGGACCTAAAATCGATATCCTTTTCCATTTCAAATAGTCACTGTTTCAATAAAAAAGTCTGTGTAAGGCATTTTGATGATTATGGTTGATGTCGTTTGAGTTTTGCTTGGTTTTTGTTTGAAAAATTCGTAAAAATGAACCTCACAAATTTGGTTTGAGAAATGTTACCGAAGTGGGATAGTCTCAGATTTTTAAAGTTATACTGTATTGATTTCAAGATCACAATTCTAGGTGGATTTGAACCCATTACATTATATTTCATCAGCTCCTATTGACGTTTTTACAATAATTGCATGTCATTTTAATCAACTCAGATGTCAGTTAACAAATATATATAGGGAGAAGCACAATTAGAAACTGAATCTTACTGATACAGTTCACTGGAGATTTTCGCTATACTCATTCAATTTAAAACAAAAACATAAGTCATGACGCATCAGCTGGAAGTAGATATGGAAAAAGTTTATATGAAACCTTAAAGTAAACTTTATTTTTTTTCAATATGAATTTTTATCAAATATCGCACAGTCCCGTTTAGTTTTTAGAAACTGAAACTTGTTTATGATATTTCTCAACATTTCTCCCAATAGTCATTCACAAGGAGGGGCTATGCTGATAAATAATCGGTTAATTTTCCAATATTACGATATATCGAACTAAATATAATAACTATAAATCAAGCAAACGAATCAACGATATATTTGCTAAACTTTTTTTCGTCACTTCTCATCTGCTTGTCCAAATGAATTTACTTTACGAACTTTCTCACTATTTTCATAAGAATTTTGAAATCCGTTTTGTTTCTTACCAATCGTTCCATCATAACCAAAATCTTGACAGAAACCTGAAAAAAAGTTTAAGTTAAAAGTATTAAGACATACACATCGTCAACTTCTAGAGACAGGATAAATAATGTCATTCGAAATGAAAGAACATTGATTTTATTGCATTTGGGATAGACAGACTTTTTCTTCAAGTTCATATGTTGCTAATACGACTAACCTAACTTTCAACAACAATAAACTGTTGTTCAATTGTTCTTTAATAAAATGAGTTCTCGAAATCTTTGAGTGTATAGTTAGGTATGAATTAAACAATAACTTTTGTTTCGATATTGAATAGCTTTAACACCAAGTAGGTACTAATGAGTGTCGGTTAAACAAATGGCTTTTGTTTAACTATTTCATTCATTCGTATGATTGTAACATTAAAATTAGTTTCCATTTCGAACACATTCTGAATTCCCAATTTTCTCAATAATTGATGAAGCTAGTAACGTATCCAGTTGTAATATTAATTTATACAAGCGTTAGTACTTCCACAGAAGTCGATTCTGTCACTTCAAAAATATCTAACTGCGCAGGTTACAGTACAACTTAATGTGATGAAGATTTCAGACCGAAAACAGTTCATTCATTGCTTTTGAGTTTGATGCAGGCAATCATCAATTAAAAAACTGCTAGAATCCAACTGAACTCCAAAGAGGATATTAAACTGGACATGAAGTAACTTAAAAAATTGCTTGTGTTGTTGACCCGAAAGACAAATGACAGAAACTGAGAAGATATGAATTCTTCGAATGTTTTGAGAACTGCGACAAAAATTATGTAAGTCAGACTGAATGAGCTACTAAAACTCGTTTCAAAGGCCACACCTTGGAGAATAGCTATAGAATGATTGGATATTGCCCAAATTTGTACAATCCTGCATTCCAAAGAAACCATTCTCTACTCATTTACGAACCATTGTATTTCTTGCTATTCTTGATCAGCTACTAGAAATGGAAACGGAGGTTCTCCTTGTTAGATATAAATAAGTGAAGTTACAGTTACGCAACCAATTCAATTCATCTTCTGAAGACGTTAACTTAGTTGGTGAAACGCGTGTTGAGAAAAGTGTTGTATTTTTGGAGTGCGGTGTTCCTTTTCGACCTCTTAGTTCTTTTTCCAAGCAATATTTCAACCAAAGCTAACACACCGTTGTAATGTGAGATCGGTAATGCATAAATGTTACAAAAATATCAAAAACTCAGCCTAAGATCAACTGAATCAAAGCTGTATGATGTTGCTATGACAATTTTATCCACAACATCTAACAAGGCCGTGGTACAAAATATTGTTAAGCCAAATTGAACACGAGGCAGGATACAAAGTTTTTCAATAGGTGTATATTCTAAAAGTTGAGACTCTGTAGCATTTTCTAAACTTCAAAGCGTTTGACAGAAATGTTTGCCGACGGGTTGTGTCTAGAAGTAGACAAATTGAAAAAATAAAATAATTACAAAACAATTGAAAAATAATGCAAAAAATATTTCCAACCAACTTACTTCACGACGTTTTGAGTGTTAGTATCCACTGTTTCTTTTTCATTCTTACGTTATTAATATTTGACCTATTATTCAACACATTCAATCATTGTCCAAAAGTGTGTTTACTTTATAATATAACTTTCTTATTATCGGATTTTTAACTCATTATTTACTCTTCACAATTTCATATTTCACATATCAGGTATTTCACTTTTATAACCGACTATTCTGGTCCTGATATTCATAAGAAACGTTGTGAACCACTTTCAAATAATTGTTACTTCACTTTCCAGTTGTTTTTTCACACTAATACCTGAAAATGTATTTCTTATGTTTGTTTATTTTCACTTCGAGCCTACATCAAGTCGGCTAACAGCTTTCTGGAATATTTCATTTCCAATCCAGGTAAACTTAGTTCTGCATTACAACGTAATTTTTTCATTCCTGCTACACATCAGCAGAATTCATTAATGAAGATAAATCATTTTGCATACAAGTATATCATAATTCGCAAACATCATTTTAAACCACGTTGAACGCCCTGTTAATCAGGCCAAGGTTCACCAATTAGTGTTTCAATAGGCTATAGTTGGATTATCTAATATCTTTTCATTAATTCAAATAGTTTTCCGCCCAATAATTTTCCTTGAAAGAAGATTCCTAGGAAAATGCAAGCCTGATGATAAGAATCTGTTGATTTATTTAGGTGTAAAGTTACAAAACTTCTTTTCTGCATTATTCCTAAACGTTTTGAACAAATTAATCAATTACTAAATTCATATTGGCAACAAAAGCATCACAACCTTATGAAAATATAACCAAATCAACTCTCGTTGTTAACTTAAATATGATTGATTGTGTTGTATTGGAAGAACTTCCATTGTCTGAATAGATGAAGAAAATCATCGACTTTATGTTGATGATAGACACTATCTTGCACTGACGAGTGGCCAAACAGTCCGAAACCGGTCTGCAAGTGTGTTCCGGATATAATCCAACGCCCTTCGTGGTATTAGCCAGGAGAGTAGTTGTTTCCTGATAGGTGTTACACCATTTACCTACAGAGGCCGGCCTGAACGAATTTTTCTTTTAGATAACTTGATTTACAGCCAGTCTCCAAGTATGCCCTTTCAATTTGTGAAGATATTATTCGTAATTTGTTGAAAGATACTGATGCATCAAACCACCAAGTAAGAAAAATATGTTCTGCATCCTCAATTATCGTGTGAGTAATGTATTACTGTAACTGGTATAATTATTACATTTTTCTCATTGAAATTCATATTATTTTGCTTGAATGAATGAACACAATTATTGTAATTCATCCTACCAAACTATCCACGAATCATCATTGGGTCAAGGTAGAAAAGACACGCAATGAAAATGAATCAAATTATCTTGAATTCTGCGTTTGTTACGTTGTTCTATTTTTTCATTTCACTAACGCAAAATTTCAATAATGGCCAAAGAGATATTCATAAATTTGGGGAATGACTTTGGATTAAATATATTAAAATTCGTTACACAATTTAAAGTGACTTCCGTTGAACAGTATTAGTGGAAGAAATATCTTTTAAATAGGTATATCTCCGAGTGGCTCATGAACATGGAAAGTCGATCTGACACAAAATTATATATTTTGCCTGTCAAATGAAAAATGATACCTACTATTGAAATTAAATTCTAATAAATTGATGGATGTAGCCGTTACTACGTGGTAGGAGATCATGATGAAAAGAGAAATGAAAATTTCTATGTTTTTCACCACTTTTATTTGTAACTAACGTTACTGCAGTTTCGTCCTATACACATTTTCATTTCTCTTTTCATCATGAAATTAAATTACTTTTCTACAAAGCCATAGCATCGAAGTTTGGCCAGCAAACCGTCATGCCACACACGGTCAAATGTCTTAGAAATATCAAGCGCAACAGCTCTTGATTTGGCATGTTTCTCAATTGCGTTATTCCAAATATGGGTATACTGTATAAATACACCTGAAGAAGCTATTGTATAGCGAAACACGTGTTGCGTTTTTGTAAAACTGTTCAGTGAAAATCTCGCAATGATGATTTATTGAATAAACAATTATTTCGTGGTCCGATTAAGTTTTATGAAATGGTGTCCAGTGGAACTAGAGAAATGCTACGAGATATAAGCGTGATAGAGCTAGATTATAGATAACCTAAAATGGTGGACAGTTTGAACGTTTTGTATCTGAAAAACTCTTTTCTTACGCCAAAAGTTAAGTACTGTCTCTCGACGCGCATTTTGATAACCAAGTTAACATCATCAGGAGATGACTGAAACTAAATCTTCGGAACTAAGTTGGGGCCTTTCACATATAGAGATAAAAGGTTTCTGATCTGGTTGCGTTTCTTGTTGTTTTCGAAATGACAATCACATTTATTTCTAGTAGGCTTGACAGCAACACAATNAATGTATATGCAATGTAAATAAATATCTTTTGATGTTTATTACTTTCTTGTTCACACTTCCATTCATTATTATCATTATTTTTATCTGTTGTACTATAATATGAATGTTTTCGATATTTTTGTTACTATATTCTTCTATCCTTCGGTCGGTAGCCGGGCGGTTCGACGTGGGTGCTTTGTTCACTCAGTCAATCGGCCGATGTGTGAGTCGATGGTTCAAGCCACAGGCTGAACGATCGATTTCCACTTGCTATCGTCCAATCCCTGTTAGGAATCACACGTTTCAAGGTAAGACTTCATTAATCTTTAGTCCGCCCAAGTTTCGACTTCTGAGGGTTGTGTTCATAGGGGAGCGACAGCTGGTTAACGGAAAAACAGATTTTTAACATAAGATTTTAGTAGAAATGAATGGAAAAAATTGATTTGAGACTCAAAACTAGCGACTAATGACTTTAGACTGGCGCATGAATCCACATTTGATGTATTAGTTCAACTACACCTCAAGATCATATGCCAAAACATTCATCATATTCCAATAAGATAGAGGAGCAAATGGTGTCACAATAAGGGACGTTATAATGGGTAGAACATTCAAACATTTTTACACGATTCGAGAGGGGGGGAATGATGTTACACTAGGGTGGTCACAAAAAATCCATGTTGGAATTTTTTTGAGGAGACCCCCCTAAAAGCTGCCAATTAGCTATGAAATTAGATTGGTGAGGTTTCAGCTCAATGGGCATATTTCATGCTATTGAAAATGATAGTGGTTTGCTTATAGACTGATCAAGTTAGGGGTATATTATACTTATCGAGGCGTGTCTGTTGACCAATAAAATTGATCGTGTCTACAGCGGTGTTGCCAAGTGTCAATTATTCTTGAGAAAAAAACGAAGTTATGAAATTAGAAAGAGTACATTGCCTCATACATTCAAGAGAGATAGGTTACTGGGTGGCAATATGGCTAATATATATCGTTGAATTTCTTATTTTTGGTAGGTGGCATGAATAATATCAAGCGCAACAGCTCTTGATTTGGCATGTTTCTCGATTGCGTTAATCCAAATATGGGTATACTGTATAAATACACCTGAAGAAGCTATTGCATAGCGAAACACGTGTTGCGTTTTTGTAAAACTGTTCAGTGAAAATCTCGCAATGATGATTTATTGAATAAACAATTATTTCGTGGTCCGATTTTATTAAGTTTTATGAAATGGTGTCCAGTGGAACTAGAGAAATGCTACGAGAGATGAGCGTGATAAAGCTATATTATAGATAACCTAAAATGGTGGACAGTTTGAACGTTTTGTACTGTCTCTCAACGCGCATTTTGCTAACCAAGTTAACATCATCAGGAGATGACTGAAACTAAATCTTCGGAACTAAGTTGGAGCCTTTCACATACAGCGATAAAAGGTTTCTGATCTGGTTGCGTTTCTTGTTGTTTTCGAAATGACAATCACATTTATTTCTAGTAGGCTTGACAGCAACACAATTTTCAATATATTTTCCTTGGAGTACCATTCATAACCGACGATTTACATTAATGAAAAGGAAAATTATGAAGCTACAGTAACAATCAAATAATTTCTAAAATCGCTTTCTTCGTCAACACTATGAAAAGCTTCGAATGTTTTGAGAACTGNACACCGGAATTCATCCTCACTATTACTAGGGTAGTGTATAAATTAGGAGACTCACCTAAGTCTGCAAAAAAACACATAACAAAAATTGCACTTCCAAGTAGCATTATATTAGAGGACGGTGTTATTTTCTGAATCCAACGGAAGACAACATTGCAATGAGTGAAGATTTTTAGCAAGTGTTTGATAATGTTCAGCGCTAGAGAAGTGGGAATCACGGTCAATTTAGGCAGGCTTTTTATTACACGTGTCAGCTTCCCAAATACTATTACAAAATTGGAGTTTTATAACTATTTTAGGGGTAAGACCTTTCAAAGGCTCATCGAGGAGGCTGCTGCAATGAGAATTGAAAAATTGGAGATGGAAAAAGTAAAGAACTTCAAAATTTCTTGAGCTAAACTCACAAAACGTGAATTAAACTTATTAAAAATCATATACAATACCCTACCATACAAAAGGAGGCGTCAAGAATGATCAAAATATAAATTAAATGCGAAACGGGTTGATTACTAATGTTGAATCAACTCTTTTTTCTCAGAAATTGGGATGTTTTTCAAATCCAAAAATATTTTTGAATATTCAAAATCTAATTAAGTGGACTGTATGTATAGCGACGATATTTCGGAACCTATTTCTGAAAATTGAAAGTCGAATGTAGGAGATAATAATGCAGAGAAAATTTCCTAATTCATCATCAATAGCTATTTTGCAAATTTTTACGACTTCAAAAGTACTTGGAGCAAATATGTTTTTCCTACGAATGAGACACTCTTTTCTTTTCATAAATATAATTAATTACGTATATTACTCCACTTTCAATGAATGTTTTTCATACCCCTCAATTACCTATGCTACTACCTGCCTCAGATACTGTGACAACTATCTCGGGGTTAAAAGTCACACAGAATTGTTATTTTTCCTTTATGGATGACGTTGGAGAAAAAAAGAATATTTCTTTTTGAAAGAGTATAAAAACATTATCTGTTGATATAAAAATATCATTGATAATTTATGAAAAAGANGTATATTTTATTTCATATAGAGAATTTTTCCATGAATTTGAACGTTAACGGGTTCATATACACTTCCATTAATAAAATGAAAATGTCTACTACCGGAGATATTTCAAAAATAACGTTTTTATTGCGTTTTGTGTTATTTGGATTCCATGTATAATTAATTCTCCCTCCCAATGCTTTTCTTACACTTTCGTCTCAGATTTAGTTGTCAGAAGTGAGTTTGATTTTACTTTGAATCACGATTGAATCAGAAACTGTTTATACGCTTCGTGAATTTTACAATTTGGCATTGTTCATTATTTGTATTGTTCCTATTGGTCAATCAAACAAGAAGCGAGACTAGGCCCGTGACGTCACGGGCCTAGAAAATCCGATTTTTAATAATCAATTACGGGAAAACAACGCTATTTAGAGAGCTGACACAAAGTACACTATTCTTCAATTTGAAATTACTACCAAATGAACTGTTAACCAAAAATCATGAAACAAGCCCATTGGATAAAGTTATTGACAAGCCTCATCAAGGCACAAGTTTCGATTTCTGAGGGTTATCGTTCGTAGGGGTGCGATAACTGCTTAACAAAAAAAACATAAACACACATACATATCTTGAGTTGCTATTTCAACAACAGGTCTATTTGTGAAATATCCGATTTTGATATATTTATAAACGTATCTTAATGTTACATTTCATTGGTGAGTATATTGCCAACGTTTGGCTGGCCTATTACTTGTCAAATAAACGATATTATTATCATTATCATTATTATTATATATCATCACTTTTGACCAGTCTTTCCGGACGTACCCAATTCCAGACAACTGGACAGGTTATCGCAATCATCGTGAGAAATGGTGATTGGCAAGAACAATTGATTCAACTGCCTCAAAACTGTTATTTCCTGTTATCAATTCATTCTCTATAGACGGCAATGAAATTGATTTCTCAGAAGGGTATCATCATTAAGCCTGACAGTCTCGAGGATCGGCGAAGGATCGTTTGTTTCACAATAAACAATTGTGCATCACAAAATATTTCATCTAAAAATTGTTGGGGCGAAAATACGGGGGTGGTCCGAAAAGTTTCAGATCTCAATGTGAAGACAGCAACACTCGTAAATAAAAGCTAGTGAATTTCGTTGTTCAACAGTTGACAGTTACTCACCAAAGTTACAGCCATTTTGGACGCGCAGTTGTTATGTAACAGTCGTTTCAGTGAGTTGATGTGTTTTTATGAAAATGGACAAAATCGAGCTGTCATCAAGTATTTGTTTTCGAAAGGCAATACGCCTACGCAAATCATAGATGAGTTGGATTCTGTGTGTGGGGTCTCTGCATCATCATTTGCATATACTGATATATGCCACAACAGAGTTGGCCCCATTCAGAGCGCTGGGAAAAAGTAGATATCACACAAGAAATGCAACAGTCTTGGAAGTGCCGAATCAGGGTCTCCAAAAAACAGAACGTTGCCCAAAATACATGGCAATAACCTTGTTTAATCATCTACCAAACTGCTACAGAGATCTTCCTTTGAATGAATTCAAAATAGTAGTCAAAAATGTCTTATAAAGAAAAGCGTACTACTCTATAAGTGAGTATTTGGGAGACACAGATTTTAACTGATTTTATATTTTATGTATGCATGCATATTTTCATATTTTATATTTCATCAAACCACTTGTTTTTATTGCTTTTGGACGTTTCCAAGTATGATCTGTAATCTGTTTATAATTCAAGTCACTTATTTGTATAATCAAAAACTCGCGTGGACAAACTGTTNATTATCAAATATCAGTAAGTGTGAATGTACAAACTTTCAATAATAATAAAAATATCGAAGTGGCAACACACAACTCCACTTTTGAACTTGAAGATACTTGTGGGGAATTCAAATACACCACTCTGTCATAAAGTGGTTGGATCGGTCGAAAATTGTGATCCATTCTTCCTTCTTGGTTAGTAAGAAGTCGAAACTCCTGTAGCTGAAACAAAAATGATGTTCACTTCCAAACTTTTAATGGTGAAATATTTCCGGATAAGTCAGACCGATTTCATTTATGTTCTATGGAAAGAAAGAAATTAAAATATGTTCACAATGTGTAATATTGAAAATGGGAAAATAGAGAAAAAGGGCTGGGAATGTAAAATATGAAAAGAAATTAAAATAAGTCATATTTCATTTGCTACCCTGATTAAAACTTATTATAGGTACGACATTGGCCGGTAAGGGTCTTATCGTAATCCACTAATAATTTAGTTGGGAGAGTCTACACCTGCGCGTTCGCCAGCCATCACGTTTGGCGCTTACTATAGTTGTTTCCCATATCCTACTGTTCAGGAACGTTGTTATTAAATGTTTCGAAATGGTTTCACAAACTATTTTAGTGCTTAGTAAGACAGCAGTGCTATCTTTATATGAAGTTTTTGGTGTAATCACGCCCATAACTATTGATGGTCTACTCACCTGACTATGGGATAAAGGTATTGTTTTGAGAAATTCTATCCAAATAACAACTTCAGAACATGGCGGGGTAGTTAGAGATCCCTTGTATGTGAAATATGTATCTCTCAGAGTTGTAGTGAAATTATCCAGTGAACCAAAATCCGTAATGCCAATTGTCGACCCTATTCTCTTCACTTGCAGTAGCTTGTTTTCGAATTTGGCGTATCTGGGGTTCTCTTCATCGCTTTTCTGGAATAAAATTAATGCGATGTCAATTGAATGTTCAACAGAAGAAATTATGATATGTGGATAGTGGCTATTGAAAGTGAACTGTTGGATGTAGTTTTCGAGCAAATGACAATTCGCACAAAGTTTGTTGAATTGATTTCATAAAAATCATAAATCACGTATCCTTTATTTTCACCCATAAATGTGTAAACTGTTCTACTGTTTATCATAAACTCGACAAGTCTCGGTTTCAAGATTCTTGACTGAATGCGTAGGCAACCAACAATTCAAAGCACCGGAACGGTAAGTTGATGTGTGAAAACTGAAGGGAATCCCACAAATTGATATTTTGAATGGTAATTATTGAAATATTTTCTTAGAATGAATTATCGAATGATTATTGAACAATCTGGACCGAATTTTATTATTGATTGCTAAAACATGTAACTATAATTAATTCTTCAAGAATTTAATTATTGTGTTTTCTGTTCGCTACGACAAGGATAAAGGATGAATTGCGATATTGTACACTAATTACATGCAATATTTTTTGTCATACGAAGCACCTCATTTATAAATGAGGAAATATCAACCTGGATCGTCCTCCTTTCATAATTTATACAATTAGCTGATACTTACGCTTTTTAAAACCGCAACACGTGTTTCAAGAATGAATGACTTCTTCAGGTGTATCTAATACGAAACATAATATGCCTGAGTTATCTCCGATCAGTGGCGTAGCGAAGGGGGGATCCGGACCACCCCCGAAATTTTAAGACACATAAAAAATAAATTGAGCATGGAGCAGGTGGAAGAGAGAAAAGTTATCATTACTCTTGTTTGCTAACATTGAATTATCACACGATTGTTGGTTTGTCCTTTTGTTTAAATCATAAATTATCAAACTATACATTTGAGCTCGGCCGCTCGGGTAGTGTAATGTCGGTGTTTGTATAGCTGACTGAATTTCGACCAGTGCTGCCGCATGGTCAATTAAAAAAGTACCGAAATTTACAAGAAAATAGTACCCGAAATGTACTGCGCAAGACTAGGCATGGCACATGCGCATAAGTCATTTCAGACCAAATGCCAGTAATGCCAAACGTGTAATAATGTTATCCATTTAAATTCGGAAAATATATGAAGTAAAAAATTTGCTGGAAACTAAGAAATGTTCCTTAAGAGAAAGATCATAATCAGAACATTTGATAAAAAGGTGTCTTTTTCCTTCTTCAAATTGCTCTTTCACGATTGCAAATGTGTTTTGTTTTAATTAGGTTTCGGTCACAATAGAATGAACAATACTAAAAACGTTTTCAAGTAGCTAGATTCGAGAATTTATTTTTACCTGTCCATATTCCTGTTTATTTTGACAAAACAATAAAACCAATTTCTCAAGGTGAGGTGTGAGGTTAGAAGTTGAAACTGCTGTTCTGCTGACTGACTGACAGATGACAGAACCACAGTTCACAGGCACAATACAGAACACAGGATTAAATAATGCAGAGTTATGATGATAGCTCGCAATTTTGACACAAGTACGGTATTTGCTGATCTGGAACTTGAAACACGGAATTGCATTGTTGCCACACATATTGTTGTTATTTTTTACTGTACTCGATGGGAGTCAACGTGAAAATGTAAAAAATTGGGATTATAGTAAATAGTACCGAATAGTCTACATATTGATCCGGGTAGTATCTTCGTATCAAAATCATGGAATAGTACCGAATGCGGTACAATAGTACCTTAACGGCAGCACTGATTTCGACTGGACTGTCACAGTAAGTCTAGTTCGCCAGCCAGCCGCTAGTGGAAATAAGATATTAGTGCTGTAACTTGGAGCATTATTTTGTTAAATTAATTTATGTAATATGAAACATTATAAATATATTTCAACTATTGTTGCACACTGTTGTTTCTCTAGCCGTACTCATCTATTTGAAAAAATTTGAAGCTCTGGACAAACTACAACACTATATTTATGTTTATTTGGATAAAACTGAATTACTATGCTTCAACATGAAATAAATGAAAATATTGAGAAATCATGAAAGATTTTATCGAAACATGAAGTTTTCTCGATTATGAAAAGTGTTAAAACTGGTTTTGGACCTCCAGAACGAAATTCCTGGCTACGCTACTGTCTCTAATGACTGGACATTCTGGTTACGTGAAGCATATTTACTGTTAGCCGTTCTTGGAATACTTAAAATGTGATTCCGTATATTCGCTTGAGGTTCACAGCTTTTTTTGTGGATCTCTATTGCCTCTCGTACTAGTCAGTGCTCCTTCATCCTTGTGACCATGGATCTTTTGGTCCTTCCGATGTAAGCCTTTCCACAAGTGCACGGTATGCGATAGTGGGTCTCTCTTGTCTTTAGCCGACCTAAGATTTTGTTGTATCTTCTTGCTGGGTTTAAGAACCGTTTTAATGTTGTTTTCAAAACGTTTTAATGTTGTTTTTGTCAATTTTTTGAAAACATCCTTATGGTCAAACCAGATTACAGAGCATTTTTCGAAAAGAGGAATGTAAGATAATCTCCCATTTGAATGAAATACAAAAATCCTTTCAAAGTTAATAAATGAAAAATGCACGCCGTTCAATTTAGAAATCGGTTAGTAAATTGATATCAAACTTACGTGGTACAGAAAAGACAAAACCGTTAACCCATCAGTTTTGTTAGCTGCTGCTTCAAAAGTGCCATAGTCAATACTGTAGAATACCATATGCAACTCTAATGGAAAGCTGAAAAAACATAATTACAGGTATTATAAATATTTTCAAACGATTAAAAAACTCAAAGAGACCAAACTTTCACGTCCGGGGATAACTGTGTGAAAGATATTTTCCTGGATTTTGGGCGTGGTCTGTAGGTTTTCATGTCTGAAGTTTCGTCTAACACTGCGGTAGACATTATGGAAGGCGATAAGGTAACGGTCGAAGTGCTCAAATTGAAGACGCATGTGTATTGTTGTAAATCATGCCCTGAAGAAAATAACACCGGCCGCCACTGGTAGCCATAAACCAATTGTGACGTAGCTAAGAGCGCGCGAATCTTCGATGTTCGCTGCCGTTCTAGTAAGGCGATAGACATTTGAAAAATAGCAAAAGTTTCAGTTGAAGTGTTCCACGTACCTGTGATTGTTGATTAAATTTTCCGAACCTTCGCTATCTGTCTTTCCCCAATGGAAATGGAGTTGCGCAAATCTGTATATTCCTTTCAGTGGGCCTCCATGTACCATTGGAATGACATCCTTTTCAATGGATAATTGCACTGCAAGTGAGAATTTCACTACTTAGCAAAACTTTCGTTCGTTTTTTCATTATTTAACTTTTGTGTTAGTGAGCTATTGAACAGTTATTGCGGTCGTTATAAAAGTAAACAAAGAGTCTAAAAATATACGCAGGTCAGGTTTCTTCTAGAAAGAGATGACTGATTTCTAAGTAGATAATTCTGTTCGATTACCATTTTCGTTTGTTTGAATATGATATTAGATGAAATAGGTAGTGATAGTGGAGCCAGGTACTAATTTGTACGTATCAATCTAAAAATAGCTTCATTTCAATGTTGTGTTTTTTTGAAATCATACTTGAATATCAAACAATGTAAGGCCAGATATCATTAAATCATAGGTATCATATTGTAACTGGCAATAGCTTGGAAATGAACAAGAATCTCAAAATCATTACAAGTATTCACCTATTTATATGAATTGTGAAATATCACTTACCAGTGTGTCCATTGTTGAGTAGTGTTACGCTTTTCAAAGAACTATCGAAGTTTTCCAATACTAGAGGAGGAAACTTCACAACGGTCACATTGTTTTCTTCAATATCAATTGGACTCTGTAGTTTTCCATAAGCACAACTTTGAAATTTTCTACCCCAGTAACTAGGACCTGCAAAATTTGAGTAATATCTTTATTACAATTCGTTTGTTGATAGCAATGTTCAAATTTTCCCTATTTCAGTCTACAACATTTTTTGGAGAATTGAGAAAACCAAAAAAGTAATATTGTGTTTCTGGAGTCACTATCGCTAACAGTTTATTTGGCTATGGAAGAGATACAACTCCTGCTTATCTGCTCGATACGTTCAAGATGAAGCAGGTTTGCATTCTACGTAAATAATAACCAAGTTTGAATACTTTCCTGTCGTACAGTTTAGTTGAGTCAGCCTAATAAATAAAGTTTCAACTACGACTACTGTCAAATATAACAATTTTCATAATTGGAAGGTGTTAAGTTCTCGGAAATCCCCCCTATCGAAGGAATATCTGGTGATGACCAGGAAAAACCTACACTTAACAGTAGGATTTCTGACTAGCAACTGTCAACTAAGGAGACACCTTCATATTATGGGGCTACTGGACATACCTCTATCCAGGATGTTGTGAACAAGAAGATGTGTTTATATTTTGCATCATCGTCAAAGGCCTATTCAATATGTTGCTCTTCGCGATGGACGAACAAAAGTTTGAGTTTGACAGTGATAGTATGAATGTAAACGTGCGAGCCGGTGGTGCTATCGAGTATCTAGAAACCAAGGTGCGTTTTACGTGTGCTCCTTCATACCCACAAAGCAATCAACCCCTTACAGTCCACTTTTCGCTGCTCATTGGGCGGATGCATCCCTTTTACTCGGAAGTTGTAGAGCAAGATCAGGTAAGGTAAAAATCTTTGACGAATTGATGCGACATTTTGGGGATACATGTCAAACTCAATCAAGTCCGCAACATAAAGTATTATAAGTGCCAAAAATGAACCTCACTTTTTTTTTAACAATTCAGGCATTGGAGGGGATCTAGGATGGGCTTAGCCCTCCAGAGAAACAGTCATCCCCCCTAACAAAAATTAAAGAAATGTATGATCACTAGGGCATTGAAAAAGCTACAACGAAAGAAATTAAATGTTCACGTTGAATAAATTCGCAACAAAATAAGTTCTGGGCAGCAAACAACAAGAAATCAATGAGTGTCAGTGTTTTCCATTAATGAATGAAATGATATCCAGTGATTTTATTCATTTCAACGTGTGTGTGTGTTTTTCTCATCATGTCTAAGTTTTTCCTCACTAGGCTGGAGTAATTTATCAAACTTAGAGGAGTGAAATGTTCATTATTTCAAAAAAAATCGTTGGTTTTTGTATATCCCTTGAATGATTGACAAAAATAATGTCGAGAATTCGATTCAGAACCATCAAAACAATTTCATCCCCCCACAGTTTACTAAGGGGTATTCTATTCCCTCTAGACCACTGGGGACTGTAGTCCCCCTTCAACTTTTCTCTCTCTAGGTTTTCTTGGCATTTGCTACCATATGACGCATTTAGCCACCGCCTTAGACTCTCATCCTAGTTACGCCAATGACTGTTCATGAAATATAATACAGAACCACAGAACCACAGAATTGTTGGCGTTTCGCCAACAATTCTGTGGTCCTTGTCTAGAGCATGTTGGGCGACAGTGGATTTTTCTATCCCTCCGTATTTCATGTGTGCACAATGCTCCTTGAAGCGGGTTTTAATCGCTCGTCGGCTCTGGCCGATGTATTTGCTGTTGCAATCTTGACAATTGATTTCGTAAATCCCCGACCTTTCTGTGTTTTCTAGTCTATCTTTTGGATTACCAAGAAGCTGTTGCAATTTGGTGAAAACAATCTGAAACTGATTGAGCATGTGCATGACACCAGGCTACTCGATGCATGTGAGAGTCTAGAAATAGCAAAATGTAAGAACAGCGTGAATGGCGATGAGGGACCCATCCCGTTTAGCCCGCTTTTAAATCATCTGTTAGGAAGAGAATAATTACTAAGAACTTGCAGGTAGTTAATTACCGAGAAATTCCATATTGGACTTCAGGTATACAACCTCATGTAACAAATTTCAGTATATAAGGATTAACCAGACTAGACTAGGTATCAATTTTCTTCTCCTGAGGATGCTAACTTTGTTGGCGAAACGCTCGTCGAGTACCAAAGTATCAGTTTGGTGTTAGGGCAATTGATCTCGAAAAGAGTTATTCATCTATCAATTATGTAAAATGGGACAATTTATTTACACCTTCGATAAAGAAAATACCACATATTTCTTACTATCATGTAGTTAATAGTTTTTTTTTGTTCTAATATTCGGTATCGGTTGATTGCATATTGAGTTCAGTCATGTATGCCAAACTTCCTCTAGATAATGAATAAACTTAGCGTCCTTTGCATTTTTTTTATTTTCTCTATAAGGTATTAGTTTCTTGTATTATTGCACCGTCATCTTCCACGTATTTTCTTTAAAGCTAAACGAATTATAAATGATTCAGGTATAAAAATTTGGGTGAATAGATTCGTATATGCTTATTGGGAAATAATTTATAAAAAACACTCAAATCGTGAACTTGTTCCACTTACCTACAGTACCGTCATAACCAAATTCTTGACCGTAACCTGTAAAAATAATTTTGTTTACATCATTTTAGGAACTAATGGTATCTATTTCAATTTATGTGTGGCAAATTTAAAAGTTGACTGAATGTTTTGGAGGGTTTTACGAAAAATATCTCTTCTCTTTGGGATATCAATAAACGAAAAGAACCTCGTAGAAGTTTGGTCTATATTGGTCTATTTCCAATGCCTGAAAGAATTTGTTTAATACAATGGAACACAAACCTATATCGATTATTTGACATATATTAGGGATGCGGCGTCTGTATGGTAGACAGACGATAAATATAATCGCAAAAACACTAATGAAAGGATAAAAATGAATTTGGGAAGGATAGTCTTACTCATTTTGTTCCGCAAGAACAGGAGAAGTAAAACTAAACACCTGAAACTGAATTGCTTTAAACTCTGAAGGTCCATTGAGAGGAAAACACTATGTTCCAAGAATAGACCAGCTTGTCCAAGAGAACAAACAAGTCAACAATAGCATAAATAAGGTGCTAACCACCACGATCAGAAAAAAGACGAAGGTCTCAGTCGACAAGTACAAGTGAACAGCAAGGAATATGTGTACTGGGGTCAATACGAATAAAAATGGAATATGGTGTCAATGCAGAAACTAAAGCTGAGTCAGAGGAAATTCGACAACCATTACGTACGTCAACTGTTAGTCCATATTCCAACCGCACGCATTGATGAGCTGAGAAGAAGAAAAATAATATTCTGAAATTGATTTAAACCTGGGCCAAGAACAAAGTTCTATCTGTTTGACAGCAAAGTGTATTTGTCAAAGCTTACCGAGTCTAGCAGAAAATCCCAGATGACAGAACGAAAGAGCGGCAATTGATTTTACCAACACAAGGTTTGCTGGAAAAACCCCAGAGTAGACGAAGAGGAGTATGCTTCATGAACGTAGACATCTATATTCAACCAGACCAGATCAATAAAGGTTGAACAAAAAAGCCAAGGAAACCTAGTTATGAGGGTATAACTGCTGCTGTGTGGGTATAACAACTCTTTAGGAAGAATGGATATTCTCTTGAACAATAGAGGGGATAAAAGGTCTCTGCGAAGAAAATTATTGACTTTTTTGTCGCATCCGACTAACACCAAGGAGTAATAATTGAAAGACGGGACAATGTTGCCGATGGGAGAATAGAAAACAACAAAATGGATTTGCATATTCTATTCGAAGAATGTACGGGATTAAACAATGAATTATTCTGGAGGAAATACGGAAGACCGCCAGGAATGGTCGAGGAAGTCCAGAAAATTAGCTATGCTCTTTTAAAATTTTGCCGAACAAGTCCAAGGATCAGTTCAGGTTTGATACAAGAGATATGCTTGAAGGTGTGATCTTTACTGAAATGGTATAGCAATTAGCAGTGTAACAATACTGCTCTGTCTTCGAATGAGTCTTTCAAATAATAATTTTTGTACGGAAAACAGAGAAATTAATTGCCTCCTTCATTTTTTTGGAATTAGACTCTTTTGAATTTACCACTCAATGCTAAAGAAACTTTGGTCGCCCTTATTAATACCTCATTCAGAACTGGCTCTTTTCCTTCTTCCCTGGAGACTTCCGTTGTCATTCCACTACATAAAGGTGGTGATTTAGATAATCCCTTCAATCTGCATCCTATTTCCTTAATACCGACTTTAGCAAATATTATTGAGAAATTAGTCAAAGAACGTTTAGATGAATTCTGCACTGTATTATAAGCAAAAACCAGTTTGGGTTTCAAGAGGAAAAAGATACAAATGATGCTATCTTCTCTTTTTTATATGAAATTTACTCTGAATTGAATGCTTGTGAAGTGGCCGCCGCAATTTTTTGCGATATTTCAAAGGCGTTTGATTGCGTCAATCATAAACACGGATGTAGAGGTGTAACGAACACTTATTGGTTTGAATTGTACCTTTCAAGTCGGAGTCAAATGGTGAGGACAACGGAACTCTCGGAGAACAGGGCCACTGAATCTGGTGTACCACAGGGTTCTGTGTTAGGCCCTATTCTGTTTTGCTATTCGACTGAAGAGTAAAATCTCCTCCGGATGTTATGCAGTTAGAGTAGATTCAAATTAGTTGGGTTTCCATGTCGCAAAGACCATTTACCATGCACTTATTGAATCTCGACTACGTTATGGAATACCTTTTTGGGGAGCATGCAACTCATCTCTTCTCTCTTCTGTATTGATATTACAGAAGAGGGCACTAAGATGTCTCTGTAAAATCAAACACAGAGAATCGTGCAGGAATTTGTTCACTGCCAATGAAATGTTAACAGTCATCGCACTTTTTATCTTAGAGACAGTTTGCCTAAATTATAAACATACATTGAAGTTCAACTTTGCTTCTACTCCTTATGCTACTCGAAATAGCAATTATACCTTTAGACTTACCATCCCAACTTCGAATTTAATCAAGGATTCCATATACTATAATGGTGGTGAATTGTTCAATCATTTACTATTAGAAATGAGATCTGCAAATTTGAGTAACACTCGTTTCAAAGAGGAGGTGAAGAACCTACTTGTTGACAGACCCTATTATAGTTTGGAAGAGTATTTTAGCGAATCCTTTCAACAATAGATTAGCAATTTATACATGGCGGTATTTTATCTATACATTTTTAGAACTTTTTTTATCTACATTTATTCTTTTTTAGCTCTTTTTCTATATTAATATTGTATTACATGGACTTTGTCAATAAGATGCAAATCTTCGGACAATAAAGTATATTTTGATTTGATTTGATTATCCCACTTTTTTCTGTATAAAGATGGAGGAGTAGAAAGTGCAGTACTGAAATATTTTCCATTTGTAAAGTTTGCATTATTATTATAAAATGAAAACAAAAAAAATTCAGAATGAGCTGGGTAGGGCAATAATTTTTTTTCTGTTTCAACTCTGAACAGACTGAAATGAATTTTGTGGAATTTCATGGACTTTTTAAGCATTCAAACATTATAGAATATCAGGAATGATGACCTTGTATATATTGGAATTATTTCGTAGTAGTTATCACCTGATACATATTAGAACACTGGAATGCATAACAGTTATTTACAGCAAGCAACTTCTATTGAACAATATAGGTAAATTTTACCGTTCTGATTGCTAATCATCATGTTCTTTATGCCCAAGCATTTGCAAAACTCTATAAATATACCTCACAAGTAAGTCGTAAAAATTGTTTCGAATAATTGTTTCTACACCTTTTCAAATATAGGAAACGACGTCAAAGTCTCGGCTTGGGATCTTCCCTAAAATTAGTGAACGTTAAGAGACTGTGTGTGTGTGTGAGAGAGAGAGATAGAATTCTCAAGTCTCTTCCTTGTTTTAACAAGCTGTACCTTATCATCTATAACTATATTTATTTGACATAGCTAATACCTACCTAAGCGTCTTTTTTCATTTATGGATGTTCGAATACACTGTTTGGGTATTCATAAATTCAAAAATATGCCTTTTAATTGTCTGATATAGCCCACGTGCGGAAAAACTTGATAACTTACAGAATTTAAATGAATTCTGAAGTAGCCCCAACCTATAAAATGGCCCCGACAACCCCCCGAAAAGAAATTTTTAACCCCCCATGAATGATGGAATTTCCAAAACAATAATTACCAATATTCCTCCCAATTAAATCTTATATCATTGAAAGACTCCATTGAAAGTCTAAAATAACCCTGTTCTACTATATTGTATTAAACAACGGAATATAAAAAAGCCTTCCAAACGTGAAAACATAAAAGTTCACTTTACTTATGTAGGTAGTTTGGTACTCACCATTGTAAACTATTAATAGAAAACAAAACAGAATATCTTCACATTTCATTATTCCCTCTCTAAAGCTTAGTCACTATTACATTCAGGTATTTCTGAACACTTCGAGAGTCAACAATGAAATGAGCGTGATCGGTTTAATTTCCGTTATAGTCACTTTACTCAAGAAGAACCGTCAGAGACGGTTCTGTGAAACGTTTTAGGACTACTAATTCAAACTATGATAATAATAAATAACTAAGGCCTTATTGTTTTTACGTAATTAATTATTGCACTATATATCCAAATGATTTACAACTAACTATAAATGAAAACATAAAAAACCGACATGGTGTCTAGGGCAAATAAAAATTAACGTCAGAACACGTTTATTGCAGGTTAATTGCCGGTGTTTCAGTAAAATTAATCTTATGACCCTTTTCATCTAGCGAGATACAGAGCTGTAAAATATTCCCAATGGATATAATTATTCCTGGATGTTCGATGTTTCAATTGATGATGGCAATCAGAGAAAAGTTTTTCGTAAATCTAGGAACAGTCATCAGGAGTCGAGCAAGATACCAGTAAATTCGTCAAGGATGAGTCTCTAAGCTTTAAAACGTTGAGGCGGAATTTCCCTTTCCCAACTGGAAGACTGTTGTTCATTTTCATCTTCTTGAAGAGCAGGCTAATTATAAATGTTCACTTATTTCCTATTTCTTAATATAGACAACTCAAAACCTTCAACCACGTATTACGGATTGCCTAAACATCCATAAAATCAAGAGACATCAGTGACGGCTCGTGCATTGGAGAACAGGGGAGGCTAGAGTCATAAAGACTATATACACACAGAAAAGTCCGCCGGAAGCGCGAGAATTTTTCGGGGTATCGCACCCATTTAAAGCAAAATACGTCATATTTGCATAAATACAAACAAAAATTGTGTATTGCCGAAAATTATACGTATAAAACTGACCATTAAAAAAACAACCCTAACCTGATTATTAAAAGAAATTTTGACCTCTTTTTGAGCTGTATCTAAAGCTGTTGCTATATTTTGTTTGCTAAACACTTTTAATTTACAAGACTGAAAACCTGAAAACACCTTGAAATTGAAAGAAAACACTTGCACTGCTATAATACAATACTGCCTGCTTTATACACAAATTAGAAATATTATCAAGAAACACTAAAACGATTTAACGAAATATTTTTCAGTCCCGGTCCGTCACGGCATCCCGTCGGAATAATTAAATGAAAAACAAACGCAATCGCACACTAACGGAGACCAACTGGAGGCTAGCCTCCTCTAACGCTACAATTTTTGCAACTAAAATTACAAATCGGGACGTATGTCGCTGGTTGGATCGGTCTCGTGGAGCCTGTGTTTTTTAAAGCGGTCGGAGACTTGGCTCCCTTGCAACGTATGGCAATAATTATTTCGGGTTGATGGTTTATTCGTTATTCGTTCATGGGCGGTGCGTTTGAGTTTTGTTGATGCAGGATACAGTGTGGTACGTACTACGTAGCGAGTGATAGTGTTTTTTCGGGCATATTATGTATTTATATTAAAAATTAACGGTAAAGTAATGATACCCAAGCATTTTTAGAAAAAAAAAATTCATGATTATTTCTCAATATCTTTTAATTTATTGCGATGAATAGCCTCACATTTTATGGGGAGACTAAGCTTCCCTTGCCTCCTCTGACGAGCCGCCGCTGAAAGACATATATTTTGTCAGGTATGAACCTCGAACTGTGTGTTAGTTTTTTTTCGTTTGTTGAATCTGTTTGGTTGTTGTCCACTCGAAATTATTTTGTCAACGATTTTGCGTGTACCTACCACAATATTGATTGCAGATGAAAACTTCTTCAACCCCACGAATTGAGGTTTCTTGATATTAGGTACTGTCTTTTTAGTCCAGTTGTGACCCATTGTTTAATTTCAGGTCAGTTATAAAAACTTGAAATACCTAGTTTTTGAATATAAGTGGTGTCGTTTAATTTTATGTGATAGTTGACGCATCAAAAGTGACAGAAGACGTATACTTTCCAACCGTTAACGCTCAGTTGATAAGTCAACTGTCAATTATGCGTCACTTGTCAGTTTTGGTGGGTAAACTGTCGGATGAGCTTCTCGAAATATAACAAAAAGTAACGTTTTCTTACTAACGTAACGCCAGAAACAACACTGGCGGTAATATATATTTTCCTTCTTTGCCTATCCCATATGTAACTGGTCTGAAAATTATAACATATATCCAATGAATTTGCTTGGGCTTCAACCCTTACTATTTTTCACTAATCCTGCGGCATATTCATAGGATCAATCTGACTTTGTATAATTGAACATTCCAGATGAGATTTTATGAAGGATATCACCCAGATATTTCACCTCCGTTGTAAATGAAATAACCTTAACAATAAAGGAAAGTGGATGCTTTTCAGTAATCTGACCATCGACTGTTCAAATTAAAAATAGAAACCTTGATGTTAATAACTTTTTGATGAAAACAAGTACCTTTAATTTTGAGGTTAAGGTGAAGAATTCTCTATATAGATTGGTTCTTCTTATTCTACCATATTATTAAAAGACACAACTGTTTACCCTCTGGCAGGGACTTCGAAGTTATAAGAAAGGTGGCGCTGAAGACTTCCCTTACAAAGACGACATATATGGGATCAAAAGAAATCTTAGTTCTTCGAAGGTATACATCATGAACACGCTTTTTCAGATGTATTTACCAATTTTGACAACGGATTTTTCATTCATTTGAATACGTAAATAGGAAGGAATACAATAAAAAACCATTGCAAACTATTTACACAATGTATTTGTTCAAATAAAAGTTAACAGGTGATTGGAGATACAACAGATTACGTATTCTCCACTTATTGCATTCGCTTTTCATCTGTCTGAAACTTCAAAACACTATTTCTTCATACAAAATTATTTACAGTCTTATAGTCTTGATTTGAAACATACACAGACCACGTAGTTCCGAACAGAAAACCCCAACTCCAGTTTGCTATTTGAAGCACAGTTCAGACAATGAAATTATTGTAGCGGTGGTAAAAAACAGAAATTTTCATTTCTCTTTTCTTTATTGTAGCGGTGCTACACAAATCTCACATTTCTATTGACTATTCTGCTCTGAAAGAAATTCGTATTCGCGTACGTTTCCACAAAACTCTTGGTTTGTTTTGGAAGAAAAAATATGTAGATAGGTTTCATATTCATGGAGAAATGCACCAAAACTCTGCCGCGGTAGCAATACTTTACCGGACTAGACTACCAAATAGCCGAATCCGTAAATTTAGTTCAACGTGCTTAAGAGTTTGGTGGTTTTGGTAACATTAGTACATACGTCCAAACAAATCCAGCTTATTAAAACCAATTATTTTATTTGGTGAGTGATCTTTCAGTTCAGCTGGCGAGAGATTCCGCCATACGCTGGAACCTGATCCAGTAATGGGAGGGGGAAGGCACAGATATGTGCTCTGCTATTGGAGCCTGAAATCTATTTGTAAAAAATAGTCCACTCCAAGGTTGACAGACCATGATCATTTTTCCCCATCTAGTAAGGGCCTGATAGGTGTGTAACACAGATGTGTTCTTCGGAAGTAGGTTTCCTGGGACGCATTTCAGAAAAGCATCCTAGAGTGTTTGCAGGGTACTTACTGCACCCAACAGCCCGCAGACACTCTCCAGATTCTCACAGGTACCGTGTAGCCATCCAGATCGCAATGTGCAGCTCTGGATCGACTTCTGGAACATCATCTACAGCAACCATAATGGCATACCAAAGACTCTGAAAATTATATCATTAAGGCATTGATGGAATAACTCGTAAGTGGTTTGACCTTACTGGTAGAAGTCAAATTGTTAAAACGTCATCTTCGTTACCAACTGCAGTGGAGTCATGAACAGTGGAGTCTCTCGGGGGTCTATTTTTGGTCCCACTGTCTTTCTCTTGTATATAAATGATCTGACAGCGTTGAATACAGAAGGCATTTAAAGTTATTTGCAGATAGCACCACTATACTCTGGCTCGGTAATAATACCTCAGATCCACACAAAATCGTATTTTCAGATGTTAAGAGTATCGAGGACTGGTGCTATTGTAACCCTTCATCTTCATATAACACGAAAACTGAATTAATTTCTCTTTGGGGCAGTATCGATAACATTTCCAATATCCCTGAATGCAAGTGAAAATGAAAACGCCAACTTGATTAGACATAAGATCTCCTGTTTACTAACGGAACCTTGTGCGATCTACCACTTACATACAGATTCTAATCGTGATTTACATCGGTAATCTTCGAAACGTGGTAACTCCAGTACCTAGTCTCTCGTCAACTGACTGAATGAGACGTGACCACGGGACGGATTGACACACGACCCTCCCCCCACATTCCACACGCTTCCCGCTTATTGGTCATCTACTGCGTAGAATAGAGGATAAATACCGTGACGGAACAGCGATTGAAAAATGATACAAGATGATGCTGTAGTAGTTGGTAATTACGTTCCGCAGTCTGGTCTATTTTTATTATATTTTTCGCCTTGCCACGATCGATTGGACTAATGATCGCGATCGACCGGTTGGCCTACCCTGCCGTAGATGATAACTTGAGATGTGATAATCGAGTAACAGCACTTACTAAAAAAAATTCATTGGGTTGTTATGCAGTGAAATTCACTTCTAGAGAATTGAGTTCTTCTGCAGCTACAACCGTTTATTATTTACCAGTAGATCCTCATCTAAGAAATGAAACTATGTTCTGGGAAGTATGTTCTAGAACCACTCGAATTCTGTGTTTGTGCTTCAAATAAGAGAAATGCATCATTTACTTGAAATGTAACAACGATATTTCTGTAGACCTACATTCAAAACAAACAAAATTTAGACACTATCAGAACATGGACTTTTACGGCCGGGGGTCATTATTGAAGACAATTCAGGCTGGTAGGCCTTGATCGAAATAATAATGATCGAAAAAGTACCAGACGTTTCGTCTGTCACAGATATCATCAGTGAAATGTGCGTTGACTGCGAGAACGAAAGTTGCGAGGGTGGTCTGGAAAGTTACGAGTTTCCGACCTCAATATGAAAATAGCACCACTTGTGAATAAAAGCTAGTGAATTTCGTTGTTCAACTGTTGACAGTTACTCACCAAAGTTTCAGCCATTTTGGACGCGCAGTTGTTATGTAACAGTCGTTTGAGTGAGTTGATGTGTTTTAATGAAAATGGATAAAATCGAGTATCGAGCTTTCATTAAATATTTGATTTTGAAAGGCAACGCCTACGCAAATCAAAGATGAGTTGGATTCTGTGTATGAGGACTCTGCACCATCATTTACCAGAGAGTGAAATTTTGGGCAGCAGAATTCAAACGTGGCCGTAAAAGCTTGGGAGACGATGAACATTCGGGACATCCAAAAACTGCAATTAGCGACGAAAACATCGCCAAAGTTCACCAAATTGTGATAGACGACCGCCGAATTAAATTGAGAGAGCTAGCAGAGGTTATGAACATATCAAAAGAACGTGTTTGTCAAATATTAATTCAACATTTGGGCATGAGAAAGCTGTCCGCGCGTTGGGTGGCGTGTTTGCCGACGTTACAGCAAAAACGTGTTCCAATAAACATTTTCAACGCTCTGTTGGCGCAGTTTGGGCGCAATACATCCGAGTTTTGACGCTGATTAATTACTTCAGATGAAACTTGGATACATCATTATACGCCCGAAACAAAAAAACAGTCCGAACACTGGACTGCAAAAGAGAAACCGGCTCCAAAAACAGCAAAAACTGTTTTTCAGATGGTAAAGTGCCGGTGACTGTTTGCCATGGCGAAAATCCACGAATTACAGTTTGAACTGCTTGACTATCTACCTTACTCACCAGATCTAGCCCCAAGCGACTTCCTTCTGCTCCCTCATCTAAAAATTGCACTCGGGGTATAGATATTTTCGTCAAATGAAGAGGCTATCTGGAGTGGGTAGAGTAGATAAACAACAGGGTTTCTGTGACACCAGCCAATGAGAGTGTAGCAATGTGTCACATGACCAGTTTGTTCGGTTGGTTACGCTATCGGCGTAACAGCCACATACTTGACCGAATGCGCTTTGCGAAACTGATTCCTAGTACGCCGAACCAAGCCGTACTGCGTAGAGTGCAGTTGCTCAAGTATGTGGCGGTTACGTCGATAGCGTAACCAACCGAACAAACTGGTCATGTGATAAATTGCTACGCTCTCATTGGCTGGTGTCACAGAAACCCTGTTGTTTATCTACTGACTATGATGAAAAATAAAGAAAAATCCGTAAACATGTACAGCTTGTCAATTCTCAATTCCGTTATGGCCTCGCCCACTAGATCTGTGTTCTTTAGAAGACAGTGAGGGTGAGAGAAAGATTAAGTCTCTTCCTAGATTGGACAAGCTGTATCTTTGATAGGTCGGAAACTTTGCACCCTCGTATGTCTGTGAAATCAAGACACAATGACTGTAGACACCCTGAATATCTGAAATGTGAATTTTCCTGGTTTCAAAATCAATAGTGTTCTCCCATAAGCACAACAACCAACGCAGTCCACCCGTTGAATGGGCGGCATCCGCTCCCTTCTCCAGTCTTATCGCTATACTGCTCCCAAATATAACCTGTCCTATGATACTGCTTCATCACATTATTTATAACTTTTTCCCTCAATTCCTTATATATTTCTCCGGCACGGGAATTGTATGGGCCTGGAACTTTTGAATAGTGGTGCAACGCTCTCGCCGCCAAAAAGTTGATATTGACCCAAATCTGACCTCGCCAGTACGGAGGGTCGTGTTCTGTATTTCGTTTCATATAGAGCGGCGAAGATTTTGATAGGGAACGTAAACCGTAATGGGTCCATAGTAAATCGGGATTGCGTAGGTCGTTCAAAATTTTCCCGAGTTTCGGCGAATCGGCGTCAATAATCTGCAGCAGAAATGGAAACAAACTTACATAACCGAAAGTGGAATCCACCAGCCTGTATTCAGGAGTTTTGAGCACCACCCTGTGCATTTCTAAGTTTTGATTTGGTGATCTAGGTAGAGGCTTCGGCCTCTCAAGACGAACCGCATCCGTGTGTAGTCCGTAATCCGCATAAGTTTTGGTAAAGTCCGACCAATGCAAGCTATCCATAACCTTGTTATCGGTTAGATAGTCCGCGGTTTGTTCATATTTTTTTCCGGCTATATCCAGAATGTTTGCTAGCTTGGCCATTGTTCTTGCCGCAATGGCGATCCAACAGTATAAGTCAATGTGGCGTTCTTCTTCAGTGGGATGGGAAGCTCTAGGATAATCGTCCAGGCCTGAAGCCATAGTTCTAGGATTGAGCTCCCTGTTCGAATTAGCGTCTCTGCCGCGCCATCTGTAAGAACCCGGAAGGGTACCTACTTGGGTGGTGTTGAACCAAGTGAACCAAGCCTTAAAATAAAGTGAGTATGGGTAAGTTATGTTACAAAGTACAAAAAATTCACCTGTAATCGTGGATAAAGCCTTTCCAAGGTGAGCAACCTTTCATCTGTCAAGTTATCTCCGTATCTCGTCAGGATACTATCGAGCGTGAGAAAGAATGTCGGTGGATTAGCATTGGTGTTTCTTTGAACGACAAACTCACTGGGAACTTTGGCTAGAGCTTCCACACCTAAAATCAGCTCTCTAGGTATCCATCCTTCGGCATTGATCAAATCAAACCAGTGACTCATGATGTCCAGTTCAATATCAACATCCCACTGGGAAATCAAGAGACCGTGGAAGCCCTCGTCCCACAGAAAACCTCTTGGGAAAAAACTCCTAAAAAAATAAATTCACGTCCAACGAAAATCCGATAAGTATCATTCTTTCTCGAAATAGAAAACTTCAGATTATTTACCGTGAAGGTACAGCTGTATAGAGAGGAGCGCTCCAATAATATACTGGTTCCTTAGTGTAGGAGCTTTGAACTTGCGATGCTCCGTAGAAATAACCGATTCCGCCAACCATATTACTCAAGGCTGCTTGAGCGAATTCAATTTGCTTTTGATTGAACCTGTAAAAATTGATTACAAGAAAGATGGCAATAATTATAGGTTGTCTCAAAGTTTTGTCCAACTACCAAACATTTCAATAACTTTTTTACTGATGCAATTGGCGCATATTTAGATTGAATTGAATTAGTATTTACTTTGAAGTAAACTCATGAAAACGAAGAAACCCTTTGAAACAGCCCAATATAAACATTCTTTTATCATCAATAGTTTAATCATGCTGTGTTCAAAACCAGTGTTCTCTGTCAAAAATTAAAAAAGGTTTCTCATCCGATCTACATGTTTTTTGAGATCCTGAATTCGTATTTCAACTTTGTGCCCTCGCCAGATGTCGGGATCATATCGAAAAACCTATAAGATGCATGATATAATAACTATTTATTGTGTCATAAAATACAAAAGTACACACAAAAGAGACAAGTACATTTAAAATGATATCAACCAAGCCCAAAAACAGGTGAAAATCATATGATAAAAACAAGCTGAAATTTCTTCAATTCAGCTCCCCATTCGTGATAGCCTTTTTTAGGATTTTCATTCAGAGTAGGGGCATATTATTTTGCAAATAAGGTACTAAGTATGAAAAGGATGCCTCAAAAAATAAAGACTGATGGAGAGGAAGAGAAAATATATTATTTATGTTCCTTGGTGTCTTTATTAGTGTCCTAATATGAATTTAATATGCTTGAAATCCAATTTTATTCGAATCTCTAGTATACCAAGGTCACTTTTGAACAACTGATGAACCCCACCGAGGATTATGTACGACAGACCCGATAACTTAAACGATATCAACCAACAACTTCTACTGATTCAACTGATAGTAACTAAAAACCAGATGAGAGGAAGCCTCAACTTGGACCTCGAATTGGCACGAAGGTAAAAAAACGAGCCCGCGAAGAGACCGAGAGGTCGTCTTATTACCTTCGGCCACTGGCCATCGAGATCTCTACTAGCCATCGAGCACAGGCGGAAGGGACCAGAATCGGCTTTATCTATCTACTGACAGTGCTGTTTCGACCCGCTGTAAGTGCCCGCGAAGAGACCGAGAGGTCGTCTTATCACCTTCGGCCACCGGCCATCGAGATCTCTACTAGCCATCGAGCACAGGCGGAAGGGACCAGAATCGGCTTTATCTATCTACTGACAGTGCTGTTTCGACCCGCTGTAGGTCTCATCAGTCGTGCTAGGCAGAACCACAATCCATCCCATAGATAATATATTNTTCGTTGCATAATCTACAAATCTTTGTAAAGAGTTTATATAGGAATTGATTGCTTTATCTGCAAGATTCCAACATTTTTTATAGAAAGATGAAGAAGTAGAAAACCCAAACCTTCTTTTTTATAAAAAAATCAATCACTGCTAAAAATATACCCCTTTTAATTTAAACAATGATAGTTCGTATGCAAAGAAATCTTCAAGACATTATGAATGCCTTAGGAAAGGGTACTTAGTATGTCCCACAACATGGAGGTAGATATTTTATCAATACTTTTTCATCATAAACATGACATAAGGTGTTTCCTGACGTTTTTGAGCGTATATTCAAAAACGATACGTAGTGACGTCATTAATAATAAGATTCGCCAGAATGGAATGATCCAATTTGTGTCAGATGAGTTCATTAAAAAAAAACAACTTTTGAACTTTCTCTAACCTCAATTAGAATCGGATTTGGGCATAACTACAATTTTTTACATAAATATCACAAATTTATCTTTTTTAAAAGTGTACCAGAATCTATTCAAAATATTTATTAATTTATTTATTTATTTATCGGTCAAGTACACTACAGAATTATTATAAAATCCTAAATGGTACATCAAGAAAGTTTCAATTGTTGAAACCAGTCCAGCTTTAGAGTTCAGTTATGAACTATTTATTTTTTATCAGTCCTGCACACCACAAACTATTAATAAAATACCAAATGAAACATACAAAAAGAAAAAATATTAAAAAGACAAAAATAAGCTCAAAGAAATTCAACACTATTTAATGAATAAATTATAAAACAAAAACGTAACTATGTCAAGAACATTACAGAATTGTAACAAAGTCCCAAATGTTACATCAATGTGCAAACAAATCCTAGAGTCGAGTTATTCCTTCATATTAAATAAAGGTAAGTATTTTCATTCGTCAAGTAGTACATAAAGTTCAAATAAAAAAAAAAAGACATGTACGAATAGTAGAATGAGTTGAGTTTTTTGAATTTTAAATATGACAAATGAAAAAGATCAAGTTCTGAAAAGTATGTATTGAAATTTTTTTGAAGCCTACAGCTTATGCCATCGAGCCATAGTTAGTCTTGTGGAATCGCAACCCAAATGAAAAACTGCGATTGCTTCTTAAGGATCTCGAGTTGACAGAAAGGCAAAGGTCATCTAAAATAGCTGAACAATTGTAGTGGAAGTTTATTATTTTATGAAGGAATAGAACCATTGCAAGTTTACGTCTGTCCTCAAGTGATAATAAATCTAATACAGACAGCCAGCCTCATTTGCGAGGTAAATCCAAAGTGGGGTAGGCAAAGTTTCCAAATTATATATTTAGAGAAGCGATTTTGCACTTCTTCAAGCCTCTCTTTATGACAAGCATGAAGAGGACACCAAATAACACTATTGTAATCCAAAATACTCCGAACCAGTGAAAAGTATAATGTCTTTATAGCATCATATTCTGTAATATGCCGGGTATTACTTTTGATGAATCCGAGCATTCTGAATGCTTTATTACAGATATTATTGACATGATCAATAAAGCTTGGATCTTTATCGAAAGTAACTCCCAAATTGCATAAGCTTTTGACAGTTTGCAGAGTTGCATCATTATTGGAGTAGTTTCCAATGACAGACTGTCTTATTCTATAAAATCTCAACACATTACATTTCTTAATGTTACCTTTTAGACAATTAGTATCACAGTAGGTACAAAAGCTATCTAGGTCATTCTGAATACATTCAATATCATTGGTAGATTGCACTGTTTTGAAAAACTTAAGGTCGTACGCATACAGAGAGATATTAGAGTGTTTAAACACTGATTTCACATCATTAATAAAGAGTAGAAATAATATAGGACTAATGTGCGAACCTTGCGGAACCCCTGAAGTCACATGAATTGTTTCTGACACACTGTCAGCTATCCTCACATTCTGCGATCTACTGGAAAGGTAGGATTCAATAAATCCGTTACTCCAAGATTATTAAGTTTTAAAATTAATAGTTCACGACAAACTGAACCGAAGGCTTTAGCAAGGTCCGTGTAGATAACATCAACTTGGAACCCTTGCTCAAGCTTATTTGTGATGAAGTTTTGGTAGACAGACATATGGACAAACAAGTAGCTATTCTGACAACTTACGTACCGTAACGTCAAATTCCGTTTCAAAACGAACCTCACGCTCGTTTTGAATCATCATGAATAATTTTCAAATCATAGTTGATGTAACGACATCATTTCAATGCCATATAGAATGTATTAAAATCGCAAACGAATACGTTTTGAATACGCGAGCGTATTAATTTGTCCGCTTTTTAATCTATTGTTGACAAATCAATTTGCAGGTAGTGATTCCATTAGTTAATTACCGAAAAATCAATTAGGATAATCATCATTTAACAAACGTAGTCTACATCGAACCAAAAAACTGTATGTATATAGACAGTTAACCCTTGTCTTTAGATTCAGTACCTATCAATTACCCTAACACCAGTATGGTGTTAGGGTAATTGATAGGTAATTACCCTAACACCAGTATGGTGTTAATTACCCTAACACCAGTATGGTGTTAGGGTAATTGATCTCTAGAAAATGTTTTCAAATCTCGGTTTGCGAAACCACTCACTACCTCACCTAACCTCACAAACACACGGCACTGTGAAACGGACAAAAAATTAGTATTCAGCCAGTCCAGCTAGCCGAGCCTTTATTCCTCAACTACATTTGATAGCACGTTCACTAACTATCTGGGCGACTAGGGGCCATAGGCAAGAAATGTTTATAACTGTACTCTTATTTTTATTGCCGTTCCAATTGGGAATGAATAGACTCAACAGGTAGAAAATCATAAAATCTTATTTAGGCTGTTGTGTTTTGAAAAAGTTTATTGAGGATATTATTATTGAGATTAATATATCATTCTCATAAGATAATACACTTACGCCAACGAACTACTCAATCATCAAAATATTTTTTGAACTCATTTTTTGGAATTTACTTCAGTACTAGCTCCGAATACTCTTTTGTCTGCATCGACTGAAAAGAAAAAAATACGGTGACTGTTCTATAAGATTTGTTTAGTTTTTGGCCAGTGGTTGCATATCTTGGAGAAGATCCATGGCCTTCGAACCCGAGGTGATTTAGAATTGGGGTGAAAATAACCAGGTTCAACCACAAACTTTCTGTTCTGCTTCGATAAGTTTTTTGGGGGTTAAAATGGGCACCCATATGTCTTGGCACAGTTAAAATGGGCACCCATATGTCTTGGCACAGTCATGTCGCTAGAATTGCAAAAGCACTGTTCCGAACCAAATAACTGTACAAACTCCAACAACTTTTGATGCTTTATAAAGCTCAGATCAGACCTTTGATCTGAAACCTGCAGAGCTCAACCAAAAAACCCGAAAAATTGCTTCCACACAGTGCTCAGTTCGAACGTTTCGAATAGTGAAGACGTATGCTCTGGTTCACTTCCAAGTTTAGAAACTGAAGTTGATTTGTTTCTAATGATTTTTTTTACAGTCTCAATATCAAATTACTTATTCAGGTTGGCTTTTCCTGGATATGCCAGACGGACCAATCGAGCTATGTCGGCTTCAAACTCCTGTAGGGATTCTCGTGATTTCTGGCAGCGGTTCTTCAGCTGTGAATGGTAAACGTGCTCGAGGTGGGCCTGTCCATACCGCAGCTCAAGATGCTTTACAAGTTGGTCATAGTCTTCCTGTTCCTGGGCCGTGAGGGTTTGCAGAATATTCGTTGCTTCTGGCCGCAGCTTCAAATTGTCGGTGGTAATTTGCCCGAGGAGTTTTTCCGTCGAACTGGGGCGGCTTCATGGAGAGCTTTCCTGGTTCAGAACTGGCTTTGAACTTTTAGTTTCGGAATGGAGATTTCGGTAACATTTTCTGTGGTGTGGGCAGAATTAATGATTTGGTTTTACATCTTGTTAATTGTTTTTTTTATCTTGCTGATACTGCTACTACTAGTGCTGCCTCTCGTAACACGTTCGCTGTACTATTCTCAGGAAAAAGGCTCATTGAAACGCTCTGTATCTGGTTGAATGTGACACTTGATCGAGGAATATCTATTTGAACCACAGCACATCTGTAAATTTTATAAGTTGAATAATAATAACTATTTAACTGGTTGAAAGCGAAGTCCGAGAAATGCAGAGAAAAAAATGTATTCAAAATGTTATGCGATTCTTGTTTATAACTCAAAAAAATTGACAATCAATTCTATTATCTATGATATATCTGTGAGAATAATATTTTTATTACATTTCAGTCGCAATTGATCTGATTGTACAACACATCCGAGATATTTTAAACGATAGGAGGAGTTCGGAAGAACGGCAGATCAGCCCTCCAAAAATACATCAACATCATACTTCTCAAGGTTCCCCATCCAGGCCTCCTAGAAATGTTAATGCTGAAGCCTTGTTTGAAAGAAGGCATTAGAAGAGAAGATGCTAGAGAATGTAAATGTAATTNTGCAAGACCGCTGCGCCCCCCGACGAAGCTCCTGTCAACCTTGATAGGAGGAGCCTGGCCAAATGCGCCCGAGTAGGAACCAACGACCACTAATAAGAGAGAGTGAGAGAATCGCCTCCCATCTCCAAAGAACAGACCATAACACACAGAATATAGAAAGATAATTTTCATGATGTCTGTGTTAATTTTCAAAGCCAAAGAGTAAATTTAAACAATCTATTCAAGCCATGGAACCAGGAAAAAATATCTTGGCTCAAATTAAAGTACAGGAAAAGTTCCACTTATTGTGAGTGAGTGATTCGTTTGTCAATTTGATTTATAAATCGCATCAGCTTCTGCATCATCCTTGTTATAGGGATCCTTGGAGACTGATTGACTTTAGCCAGAAACTGTTTATAAAAACATATCAGAATATGTCAAATTTCATTGCGGGAATTAGTTAGCACAAATTTTTTTAGCCCTTATTACAGTTGTCAGCTTGTAAGTAATGATAGAAATGATACTGTGCGGTTCAGTTTTACAATTAATAATGACGTGTTATGATGTTTTTGGCATAACAATTTGGAATTAACCAAATACATATTTTTTTAGAGTTTCAAGAGAAACTGTAAAGCTTTTCCTACTTTATTGTAAGTCAAGAAAAAGTCCTTGATATATCAATGTTATATTATACTTTTAGCAGTTAGAGTTTTATTTATACAGATTATTTAGAAGTTGTTGAAATACAAATANTCTAATTGAATGAAACTGACCGATACTTTATGAAAATCCATATTGAAACCTACTAATAAGATTCGTTTTGATTTACTGTTTAAAAAGTTACTAAACCGCAACATCTGTTCTGCTATACAATCGCTATCCCTAGAGAAAGTACTACCTTTTTGGGTTGAAAAACTTCCACCTTCCCTCTAATCTTCTTATATAATTTTCAAAATTTACTTCTGTACGCAATCAGCAAATAATGCACTGTCAAGGATTTCCATACACAGTTGAACCAGACTACTTCTACCTGAATTTCTTCTCATTATTGCAAAGCAGTCTTTTAAAACATTTCCAAGATAAGTTAAACTTGATGTTTTCCATCAGAATATTAGAGGTTTCTTTTACCTATCAATAAGTTTATATCTGTTATTTGAATCCCTAAGAATTCAATTTGTTTAAATGAGCTACCATAGAATTCTTTACAGAAAAGACTCGGCATGGAACAGGAAGTGTACATTTTTTTGACAGATAACTATCTTATGGGTGACAGCTGTCAGGCTAAAAAATTCATCTAACTGCTTGAACGTGGCCAAATGAAGTTACTTTTCCTTGAATTGTTGATTTAACAACCTGCCAAGATCAATTTGTAATAATTTCTCGCCTGCAATAAAGTTATTTATGTAATAGGTTTAAAATGATTTGAAATTACCTCTACAAAATGACAAATACCTTAACACAGAACATGTGTCACAGAAACTTGGCCACACAACATCAAAGTGTCGCGAGATGAGTGTCTTCTGTGGTTTTACTGAATTAAAATCAATTATTTCTTCATGATTAAAAGATTTCAAAATATTATATTTACGATTTTTTTATTTAGTGGTTTCTTTATAAAAACTAATGTTGGATGTAGAAATGAGCAAACTATCTGAACCAACCTCATCGGTCAAACAATAATTAACAGTTGTCTGATTAAAACAGATATTAGCTGCCTATATATCATTTTATAAACACTGCTATGTCACTTTCTTCAGAAATGAGAATTGGAGTTGTAGACTGGCTAGTGATTAAATGTTGTATATTTCATATTTCTAAGAAGAATATAATAATTTTTTTTGTTTCTTTTGATAACAAAATATTCTTATAATCGGCTTATTAATTTTTGATCTGATATTTTATGTAATGTCTAATAATTTTTCTTAGGTTTTGTGACTATTTAACGGCTCTACCTTAATTTTAATTAATATTAGTATTTGCATGACTGTTAGAAAATTTAATTATGTTGTAGATATTTGAATTTGATTGAAATGCCTATTTGAAGGTATCAGTTTTATTCTTTGATTGATCATAAGTCATAACATTGTTAGGTCTAATAGCTGAAAAGAACAATTACCGTTACAAAAACTTTTGTAATGTGAGATTGTGGTATGATTTATGATTCGGCAACTGAACGAAGATGAATCATGATGTCCAATATCAAGTTCCAATATCAAGTAGTGAATTTTTTTTAGTCACATAATGTAAATTTGGAAAATTAATTTATTGAAGTAAACATTCGAATATCACTGAAGATAATGCAAAATAATCAGTGAATTTTTTTTACTTACTAGGTGGTACAGAAAAAAATGAAAACCAAAGTATTAATTAGTTATTGATATTGATAATTTAATATTTTGTGATACATTGGACTGTATCAGTATTTTTTTCGACTCGAATTATTCAAACTGAAAATAACAGTTTATTGGCAATAATCGAGGAAGAATAACAACACGCCACCCTTCTACAAGTCTCACCTTTGCTCTTCCTGAAAACCTAAATTTTCTTTCAACTATTTACATGAGCTTTCCACTCAGTTTTTTATGATTGTTGAATGTTGGAAATTGTTGACATTCTTATTTTCAAATCTATAGGTTATTTTTAAAAAACTTTTATTTGGTNGTCTGCTCTGTAAAGTAACAATGTTAAATTCCTTGAGCATGCTTCTGTAAGACACCATAATGGGATAGCAGCCATAAATTTTGACATAAAGATATCTAAGAAATCTTTTTTGAACTTTTTCAATCAAATCTGCGTTGGTCTCTCCCTGTGGTGACCAAATAACAGAAGCATACTCAAGATGAGGTCTAACTAGAGCATTAAGTACTTTACAATTCACCCAACATCTCTAAACGAGGAAAATATAATAATGATGATAAAATAAAAATAAGTATAATAAAATAGTAAAAAAGTATAATAAAATGTGGTGAAATTATACACATATACACAAATACAATCACACATTTATACACATATAGACATAGGTATACATATATAGGAAATGCATGAGGAATACAGTGCAAAAAATTGAGAAAATGTAAAAATGTATCTAAATTTTTGCGAACAGGAGGTATGAAAAGAATTAATTTGATTGTATTGAAAAACTGTTCTTTACCAGAAAATCTACTGACACTCTAGAAGTCCATTCCCCTCCTCTATAATCCCCAGGTTTCTTCACAAAAGATGTGACTAAACTAAACGGTCCATCTACTATTTCTTGGATCCCAAAATTATGGCCATCATGTTGCAACCAACCGTATTTTCCTAAATTGTCTCCTTGTTCACACCAATGCCTGTAAATGAGATTTACCAGTTATTTGTGTTAGGATCTATCATTACTACCACTATTAATAATAATAATAATAAATGTCTTTATTGTTTACAACTGACAAGGTTGAACAGTTAATGAAGAGTATGGACACAAATATGGATAAGTTAAAAACAAAAGGCAAAGTTCACTTTTTATAACGACAAATCGTTAATAATTGCTCTTCCACTTAACCTCAAAAAGTAGCTGCGGTGTTATAAAAGTGTTATTATAAAATAATCCATTCTACTTTTATCAAAGCATGGCACGATTAGAACAATAGAGTTTCAAATAAATTTTTCTAAAATCTAATTTGAAACTGCTGAAACCCACTCTTAATGATTATTTCGGAAACATTATTATAGATTGCGTTAAATTGATAACTAAAACTGCAACTAAAAAGTTCAAGTTGAAAAGTAGGAGTTGTTATTAAACCTCTATTTCAAATATTGAGATTATGAACATCTGTCCGATGAGTGACTTTTCTATACAGATATGCAGGGGTTTTGGTCAGTATGACTTTATGGAAAAGTACTGCAGAATCGAGAACTCTTCTACTACTCATATTCAACCAAGCAACACTGTTAAGTTTGTGTGAAATTCTGTGACGTCTCCTTGTGCCATAGATTAACCGCGAGCAAGAATTTTGAACTTTTTGATTTATATTGACTGGTTGAACATAGACCGAAGAGCACATCTGTATAAATGAAATTTTAAACCTCAATGAAAGAAAATGTCTTTGACGCTATATAATTCTCAACATAAAATATGTACCTTGTAAGAGTATATTGACATGTTTTTCAAATCTGAGATTGACATCTAGAAGAACTCCCAGACATTTGCTTCTTGAACAGTTGCGGGAGAAATTTCACTTATACTAACATTAAGAGCATTGAGTACAGTATAGGGATTGATTTTGGTACCAAAAACAATAAACTTAGATTTACTATCATTAATCATCAGACAGTGGTTTGAGGGGCCACCCCTGTGAAAGCTTTGAGATCTTCATTTATTTGAGAACAAGCATTTCCAATCATTTGTGAAGGAAAGTTATAATAGAGTACTGAAGGCTCTTGACTAAATTTGACGTTTATATGGCAAGTAGCAGTGGACCCTAAATAGACCCTTGAGGGACGCGGCGGCTCAATGAAATATACTGGGATTCAACATTAAAATAACAAGTGCTCCAAAACAAGAACTGTAACACCGAAATTGCGTTTCACTAACCAAACTGACATCTTCAGTTGATGCAGTACTTCAACAGTACCCGTTTTTGGATTTATTCTACTTCAGAGGATCCTAGCCATATAAAAGTTAAATAATGCGATAACTGAGATAATTAATAAGTACTGGTTTGAGAAATAGGTAAATATTAGTATTCAATACATTTTTGATCAAACTTGTGTATTTTTGTCAGCTGAAAAAACAGAAATGGAAATCAAATGACGGTATGCAACATATGATCGTGAAAAGGTGTAATTTTACGTGGTTTTTATAACCAAGAGCGAGTTTCTGTGGTTGATTTATTGTCCTTTGAGTGGCCGTATCTCCAAAAAATACCAAATTTTGACTTCAGTCTTGTGATTAACAGACAAAAATATGCAAGCCTAATGAAAAATTTTACCGTGCACTGCACCACCATCTAGAATGGTTGAAAAAGGTTGAATATCTGTGAAGTACATTCCAACAAATCATTTCGTAGATTACAATTCTATGCTCCATCATCTTAAAATTGAAAGTGAGATCCACCAAATCAAAAGTGGGATTCAACAAATCAAAAGTGGTAGCCTTTAAAAGAAGAATCTTCTACCAAAGCTGAAAAAAATTCAAAGAACTATAACCTAATTCCGTCTCCTCCGGGCCTAAGCCTCCTAGGAAAATACCACATGAGACCAGTAACAAGTGAGTTGGGTTCTCTTGTTTTTAAGCCAAAATAGGTGCCCGGTCTATAAGTTCCCCAAAATAAATCCGGCACATCCAGTCCACTTTTCATTACAACCTGTAAAAAAAAAGATTGCCTGGAACAGTTTGCAATATAATTCGTTTTCCAATATTTACCTTTCTTTCGTCATAAGGTGTATTGATCCTAGTCTCCAAGTATCCCATATAGCCAAAGTATACTGAAATACTCAAAACTGCTATAACAATAAAATGTTTCCAATAAATAAATAAACTAGTTTGTTTTGGTGATTCCTCCTTAGATGTAGTACTTCCATTACTGCTACTGCTGTTTGTACCTTTATCAGCTTTATTGCTATCTGAATTTACTTGAGATCTGCGTTGACGTACCATTTTACAGTAATTCAATATAACAGATACTTCTCATTTTCAATTTGATAGGTACACGTTTGAATATTTCAGTACTTGAAATGAAATTTTCAAATGATATTTAAATAACATTGACAACTGTCAGGGTTTTGACTGATGTGTTGATGACGTTGACGATTGACGTGTCAGGTGAACTATATCATAGAACAAGAGTTCTCTCGTTACATTTATTTTGTTCTGGTGTGAGAAAAATGTTATAAATATAATCAATTTTTTTCTATCAAGGACCTAAGTTTGTTTTTCCATGGAAAAAAATGATTTGGTATTCTACACGAGAACGTTTACTTCTGGGATTCACTGTAGAAATGTACACTTTCCTAAATCCATGTGATTTATAATGTTCTTGAGGGTTTTGCCATAGAACGCATATTTTTGTGATTACCAGCGGAATAGAATGTACTATCTTATGTCGTTGTCTGTATTTGTCTTTGGTTTTATTTCGTTGAGAATTTGAATCCCTTCAACAGGTTCATCGCGATTAAAATATAGCTTTCATATAGTTTTTGACATATTTTATTTAGACTTGTTGAACAGTGTATGAAATGTCTACCGCTTACGAATCCACTCGTGGCAGGTAATATATGGATGCGCAGTAGTCCTAAAAAGATAAAATTCCCACAAACTACTGCCACACTCCACAGTATAGCCACAGTAGAAAATTGTCTTTTTACTGTGGTAGAAGTACTTTTTACTGTGGTACTGCTTTAAGGTATATGTGGTTGAGTCCTGGTGATTTTAGAATCACAGAACCACATCTCTGATCTCTGCTTACTTTAGGAACGTATCTTAAAGCTCATTTTTTAGGTTAAAATATTCGCAAATCTTGCTTATTTTTTTTCAATTTCTATTAATTCAGTTTTATTGATTTTAAAAATGAGTGAAGTACAATTCGATAGTGTTCCCAAAATGAATTATGCCGAAGGTAAAAAACCGTTTTTGATAGGTGTTTCAGGAGGGACAGCTAGTGGCAAGGTAGTAATTTTTAGGAAAATTGTAATTGAAAAATTTTAGCAACCTGTTTTTAGAGCACCGTTTGTAAAAGGATTATGGAAAAGTTGGGACAAGTAGATGTGGACCAGAAACAAAGGCAGGTGGTATGTATATCCCAGGACAGCTTTTACAGAGAGTTAACTCCTTCTGAAATCACTAAAGCTGAAAAGGGACAGTTCAACTTTGATCATCCTGGTGCTTTCAACGAAACCTTGATGTATGAGACTTTAACAGATATACTTGCGGGTAAAATGGTTCAGATTCCTACCTATGACTATAAAAACCATGCTTTGTAAGTAAAGGCGTTGAATGTTATTTTTTGTTTGCAGTCTCAGCAATTTTGTTGGTTATTGGTTTTAGCTTCATAATTCTCGTATTTGAGTAGTTTCTTTTGAGTGTCACATATTTGAAAAATATGATCTGACGACTATGAATACTATAATGCACTGTGTCTACTGGTAGATTTGAAAATATTATATAAATTGAAGTTGCTTTCATATCTGAGCAGTTCCTTGATATTCTTGATATCTGCACTTGAAATGGTGAGGATGTTCATAGGAATAATGAATAATAATAATAACTATATTGCACTAAAATACATGATGAAAAGATGTACTCGAATGTACGTAGCCCGGGAAATTTGAACATTCACCCAAGTACTTTGTGCAGTGGTCGTGCATATTATTTTATTTGTATGTTTCAGGCGGAAAGATGAAATACTCACAATTTATCCTGCCGATGTTGTTCTATTCGAAGGCATATTGGTTTTCTACTTTCCAGAAGTTCGGAAATTGTTTCATATGAAATTGTTTGTCGATACTGCTTCAGATACGAGATTTGCCAGAAGAGGTGGATTGAAAATTTGCCATATTTCATTTAAAATAACAGCCTATTTTCATTCTAGTTCCACGTGATATAATTGAAAGAGGACGGGATTTGGATCAAGTTTTGAACCAGTATATGAACTTTGTGAAACCAGCTTTCGATGAATTTTGTTCACCAGTAAGTTCATGTTTCAATCTTAGAGGTTGCTTGATTATTTTCAATGTTTATTTTTCTACCATGGAAAAACACTCGATATTTTATGACTCAAAATTTTATAGAACATTTTCAATGGGATGAGAATGACACATACATTTTAAGGGAGACTAATGAGTCAGGACTAACATTTTTCACAAACTCTATTGGGGCATGCAAAAGATCTGTCATTAATTTTGTTTTTATTGTTTAGTTCTTTAACATTTTGATCTAGATGTAGGTTTTTTTAATAGTTCATCTTTACATATTATTAGGATTATTGTTTTATATTGTTTTTTCTTATAAATACGTATAATGGGGCTGCTGTGTGATTCATGATGTTTGAGAAAGTTTTCAGCAGCGATGATCAACTCTTTGACTATTGAAGTATTAATTTCTAGAACCCCAAAGAATACTTGGCAATGAATTAATTTTAGTTATAGTCTGCATACATAGAATCAACTCACAATTTTTTCTAATTCATAGAGCAAGTATTCTACAAAATAAATAATTAAGTTTTTGATTTTCAGACCAAAAAATTTGCAGATGTCATTATACCCAGAGGAGCTGATAACCACGGTAAGTCATAAACTCATTCTTCAGATAACCTGCAGAATTGATGAAAAAGTTGGTACATAATGAAGAAGCATTTGCAAAATCAATACAATAATGAAATCACAAACCTAATGTGTTATAGGGATTATAGTATTATTTACAGGTAACTTTGTGGCACCTATAAAAAGAATTGCGGCAAATCTTATTTTTCTCATGGTCTCATTTATCATCTCAACAAATTTATTATCGGTGAAAGACAATTTTCAGTCTTTTAAAGTGTTTTTCACTTGAACGTGTGTGAACTGAACTACACTTTTTGATAATTTTATCATCTCAACAAATTTATTATCGGTGAAAGACAATTTTCAGTCTTTCAAAGGGTTTTTCACTTGAACGTGTGTGAACTGATCTACACTTTTTGATAAAAAAAATAAGCTGCAATTATATTTGAAAAGCCTGTCACCCAATTTAGATACGATTGTTTTCTTTGTGCATTTTTAAGTATGTATGTTACTTCATACTAAATATTCTTTCATTTCTCTTACTAGTTTCACTGATGAGAAAATTAACCAATTTTCTGGGGACATTTCAGTTCAATGGGGAATGTTCCTCCTGACGAAAATCGAGTAGCTTTCATAAAAGAGCTCCAAAACAACGCATTTTAAACTTATCATTTCAACCTTTTTCTTTAAAAAATTATTTAAATACTTGAAAAAGAGGAATGAAATAATGCATTCAACATTTTTTGAAAAACTCATGAATTAAACTCAACTTTATTTTGTTCAAACTTGCATTTGCTGTAATAACCCAAACTGAGGAACATTCCCCATTCTAATTGTGAAGATGAATATGAGGTCTATTCAAAAAATAAGGTGAATGTTCAAATTTCGCGGGCTACGAACATTCGATTAGCGATTTTTTTATATTGTTATGTTGGTACACTTGTATCGGACATATGTTCACAGTTTCAGCTGTTTAGTTTGTTGGTTTGATTTATAAAAAATAGAAGTGTTTTGCGTGTTTGACGATTTTCTATAAAAGATGGATCAATGAATTTGCATCAAATTTTTTATGGAGGATCGTTGAATCACTATCAGGAAAGTTGCTGAGGATGTTGGCATATCGATTAGCTCCTGTCATACAAATTTTTCGAAAATTTTGGGCATGAAGCATGTGGTAGTGAAGTTCATTCCACAATTGCTGAATTTTGACGAAAAAATCCGGGTGTTATGATATTGAAACCAGAGTCCAATCGTGTCAATGGAAAAGCCCAGGAGAGCCAAGACCAAAAAAGCACGCCAAGTTCGATGAAATGTCAAGGTTTTACTCACCGTTTTCTCTGATAACTATTATCTTGAAGTTATGCGCTGTTTGCGAGAAGAAATACGAAGAAAACGTGTGGAAAAACAATTCATGGCTTTTGCATCATGATAATGCATCTGCTCATTGCTGTTCATAATTTTTTGGCCACAAACAACAATGTTGTCATGCCTCAGTCACCGTATTCACTAGATTTAGCTCCCTGCAACTTTTTCCTGCTCTCAAGATTGAAGAGACCCATGAATTGACGTCTACCGCAGTAGTTGACGAAACGTCATAAATATTTTTTTTTGTGAAAATTTAAAATTCACTTTATTTTTCGAACAGACCTCGTGTTTTAAATGAACAGCTATCTCTTAATGCTTTTGCTTCTTTCATCTTTTCATCATATAGCTTCTGGGTGAGTGGTCATAGTCACTGCAATACCTTTTTTCATTTCGGTGTTCACTGTTAAATGTATCAATGCATGAATTTATGTAATCTCAGTGTACATAACTAGTTCGATGAAAAATTTATATTGAAAATTTTGTTGCAGTGGCTATCGATCTTATAGTTCATCACATCTGGGACATATTACACGGACAAAACAGACAGAATGGCTTAGATGCTGGAACGAGAAACCCCAAACTTCTAATACACCATCACAACTAAGTGGTGAAATCATTATTTCTGCATCTTCCTTTGAGAAAATTTTCATTAGGTTGAAAGAGATATATACGGTGTTTATAGAATGATAGAACGGCTAGCTCCTTTTCAAAGATTTTCAAAGACAGTTGTCTAATTGAATGGAACTGACCGATACTTTATGAAAATCCATATTGAAACCTACTAATAAGATTCGTTTTGATTTACTGTTTAAAAAGTTACTGAACCGCAACATCTGTTCTGCTATACAATCGCTATCCCTAGAGAAAGTACTACCTTTTTGGGTTGAAAAACTTCCACCTTCCCTCTAATCTTCTTATATAATTTTCAAAATTTACTTCTGTACGCAATCAGCAAATAATGCACTGTCAAGGATTTCCATACACAGTTGAACCAGACTACTTCTACCTGAATTTCTTCTCATTATTGCAAAGCAGTCTTTTAAAACATTTCCAGGATAAGTTAAACTTGATGTTTTCCATCAGAATATTAGAGGTTTCTTTTACCTATCAATAAGTTTATATCTGTTATTTGAATCCCTAAGAATTCAATTTGTTTAAATGAGCTACCATAGAATTCTTTACAGAAAAGACTCGGCATGGAACAGGAAGTGTACATTTTTTTGACAGATAACTATCTTATGGGTGACAGCTGTCAGGCTAAAAAATTCATCTAACTGCTTGAACGTGGCCAAATGAAGTTACTTTTCCTTGAATTGTTGATTTAACAACCTGCCAAGATCAATTTGTAATAATTTCTCGCCTGCAATAAAGTTATTTATGTAATAGGTTTAAAATGATTTGAAATTACCTCTACAAAATGACAAATACCTTAACACAGAACATGTGTCACAGAAACTTGGCCACACAACATCAAAGTGTCGCGAGATGAGTGTCTTCTGTGGTTTTACTGAATTAAAATCAATTATTTCTTCATGATTAAAAGATTTCAAAATATTATATTTACGATTTTTTTATTTAGTGGTTTCTTTATAAAAACTAATGTTGGATGTAGAAATGAGCAAACTATCTGAACCAACCTCATCGGTCAAACAATAATTTAACAGTTGTCTGATTAATACAGATATTAGCTGCCTATATATCATTTTATAAACACTGCTATGTCACTTTCTTCAGAAATGAGAATTGGAGTTGTAGACTGGCTAGTGATTAAATGTTGTATATTTCATATTTCTAAGAATAATCGGATATTTTTTATTTATTACTGTCTAAAAAGTTACCATGCCATTACAATTATTCTTTTCGAGTTATTTATTACTGCATGCCTTTTAAAAATGAACTGTAGCAACAATTCCTCGAAGACAGTATTGAAAAAAATCTCTTAGTAGTCTAAGCAAGAAGTTTCCGTTCACGATTTTCCATCTACCTTCGCTTCAAAATTTATGATTGAGGGATCATTTAAAATGGAATTTTGGAAACCTAAAAAAGAAAAAAAGGTCCTGCCAAAAAAACTTACTAAAGTTTAAACAGATAGATAAAAACAAAAATGGATTTTCGCTTTTTGGATGTGTAGCTTGTCAACACTAGGAAGAGGCTTGAGAATTATCTCTCTCTCTCTCACACACACACACACACACACAGTCTCCTAACAAACGCGCATCTAGAGGGCGCGACGATGTCAAAATTTAAAAAGGTATTCCTACATTTGACAAGCTGTATTTCGAGAAAAATTCAAAGTATCCAAAATATGAAGAAAGTCTTCAAAGAGGAAGAAATTGTCTACTAGAAGGCCCAAACTCCCGGAACTATACCGTCAATAGTTACGACTAATGAGTCTTCCAAATCAGCTGCTATTCATAACTTTTGCAAATTTTTTGGGCGGAATTTCAAATTTTCCAAAAAGTTTTGAAATGCTATTCCACATCGAATAACATTTCATCGAAATTTTCTGTGACGGCAGACGGAACATAGTTGAAAATGATCTTGTTGATTAGACTACAATTATTGTTATCACAGTTGGTTAATTTGTGATGACATGTTGAGTCTGATGTGATGTTGGATTGATTAAACAGAACTGCATTTGTATTCAACTTTGATATTAACTCCGACATTTTCTTTTTGATACCAATAAATTTTACAAATATCGAACCAAGACTGTAATAATATCTGATGCACAAAAGTCAATTGTACCAATTTTTCACTAACTATCTGGGCGACTAGGGGCCATAGGCAAGAAATGTTTATAACTGTACTCTTATTTTTATTGCCGTTCCAATTGGGAATGAATAGACTTAACAGGTAGAAAATCAAATAAATCACCATAAATAAAAATACCATAATTAACTATAGGACCATTTTGAATCATTTTCAATACGTTTCATTAATTTTAATAAAAAAAAAAAACAATTCCAAAACACATTTGTTACCTTTTCATGGCCATTAAATGTAGGCAACTGGCCAGCTAAAACAATCTTTTTAGCTGACTTGGGATTATCTTGAGCAAGTCTGAGGGAAGAAATCACAGTTTCTTTAAGAAGGTCCAAGCCTGGGGCAGTTGTGCTCAAAAATGATTCGTGATTTAACGAACCTGAAAAAATCCCAAGTTTAGTCGGTATAATGGACCAAGTGGAAGCAGGTTCTCCGTACCTGTAGTGGTGGTAAATTTCAAAGTGAATGAACCCAAAGTAGAAGTTTCTCCTCTAATACCAGTTATTCGTGTGGCCGAGTTTGTTGGTTCTATGAAGCCTTTTGTTCCTTCATCCAAAGCTACATACCAAATGAGTGATACCTCCTCTTCTTTCGTAGAATTACTTTTCATCTAAAAATAAT